AATAATAATAATAATAATAATAATAATAATAATAATAATAATAATAAATAATAATAATAAATAATAATAATAATAAATAATCACACACAAAAATAAGGCTCAAAGAGCCAAGGGTGGTGGCGCATGCCTGGAATCCCAGCCCTGTGGGAGGGAGATCTCTGTGAGTTTGGGGCCAGCTGAGTTCAGGGCCAGCCTGGTCTACAAAGTGAATCCAGGACAGCCAAGGCTATACAGAGAAACCCAGTCTCAAAAAATAAAACAAAACAAAACAAAACAAAAAGCAAGAACAGAACGTATATAATATGGGTAAAAAGGGGTGGAGGGATAGCACAAATTTCCTTAAATAGAACAACTGTAAAAACCACTTCGGCATGGCACAGCAGACGTGTCTAGAAGGAGGTCAGCAAACTCAAAAACAGGTGGGACAATGTCTCAAGACCCTGATGAGTGAACAGGGAAAAGCAGAGATCCCAATCAAGTCACATTGTGGAGTACAAATTGGGGTCTGCAGGGGCTGGAGAGATGGCTCAGAGGTTAAGAGCACTGGCTGCTCTTCCAGAGGTCCTGAGTTCAATTCCCAGCAACCACATGGTGGCTCACAACCATCTATAATGAGATCTGGTGCCCTCTTCTGGTGTGAAGGCATATATGCAGATATTGTATACATAATAAATTAATTAATAAAAAAAAATTGGGGTCTGCAAGAATGGCTCACAACACTTAATCACAACCTGTGGGAACCCTTTGCAAGCCAGCATGGTGGGGCAGACGGAAATATCAGCCTTATCTAGTGAAATCTGTTCTCTTCTTTGCTTTTACTCATGTCTCATGTCTAGTGAAGCCTGAATTAACAGAACCTTGTTTTCCTCAGCCAGATTAATATCTATATCCCTTTCAAGGGCATTGTGAAGGGATCAAGGAAGGATACCAGGTATGTACAAAGCAGCTGTTTGGATCTACAAAGAGGCAAGTGTTTTTGGCTATTGATGAATGACACTTCAATATTCCAGGCCACTCTGAATGTCAATCAACCAATTCAACCAATCAGTCGAAATGATTGTGATGAGCGTCTGTCAAAGGGTTTACTGAGACGTTCACAGAAGAGGCAGGGAATGGTACCTTTAGGGCCATAGATTTTGTGACCGCTGATGCTCATGAGATCAATTTTCATGTCGTTGACATCAAGAGGGATTTTCCCAACAGCTTGGGCTGCATCAGTATGGAAGTATACCTTTCTGGAACTGCAAATCTGCCCTGAGGATGACAGAGAGGAAGACCCAGAACACAGGGGAAGTAAGCTGGCAGCAGTCTTGCAAAACACCACTAATGAGCTAAGTGACTATTAACACATACATAAGTCCTCTCCTACTCCATGCCTTTCCACCTTCCCCTCTCACCTCCTTCCCCAGCTCCCTGCCAACTCCCAGCCTCTCTGTTTGCCAATGAGGGGCAAAACACCAAACCACAAATGATATTTTGATGCCAAGTTTCTTTGTACCAGCTAATGAACCCTGGACTTTGGGAATGTAACATCACCTTTTAAATACTTTTTTAAAAGAAGAAAAGATCAACAGATGTTTTTGCTAATTTGCATAGGGATTACAAGGTGACATCTAGGTGAAGAAAAAAAACTTTTTTTTCCTTTTTTTATTCTGAGACAGGGTTTCTCTGTGTAGCCCTGACTGTCCTGGACTCATTTTGCAGACCAGGCTGCCTCGGCCTCCCTGAGTACTGGGAAAAGCTGTGTGCCACTGCGCCAGGCTGATAAAGAGTAATGCATATATGGCTTTTTCTTATTGTTTTGTTGTCATTTTGGGCAAAAACATAAAGAAACTGAAAAACAGTAATAACAACAGCATGTAAAAACATAAAGGGCACTCAACCCTAAATTCTAAATATTCAAATATTAGTCACCCAGAATAAAGATCGGCAAGGCACATAGCTCTTTCCCTTGGTGCCCTTGGTGGCTGTGTTAGAGCTCTGTACCTCCCCTTACATGGATCCAGGAGTGGGAAGGATCAGGCTTAAGTTACTACACTCACCTATTTCTGCAATCGGCTGCTTCACTCCAATCTCATTGTTCACAGTCATAACGGAGACCAGGCTGGTGTCTGGCTGGATGGCAGCCTCTAGTTCCTAAAAAGGCACGAGTAAGGGGTCTATATGATGCCAAGAGAAAACTGTCTAAGTAAGAAAGCAGACAACCTTAAGTCTAGAAAAGGGGCCTTTCACTATAACCCTATCTGAACACTGAAATATTAAACAGAGGGGTTTAGAGTGTAGCTCAGCTCAGTGCTTGCCTGAGGCATCGAGTTCAATCCCTAGTATTCCAGTTAAAAACAAACAAACAATAACTGACAACACGAGAAACTACAGACATGGCTCAGTGGTTAGGAGCACTGACTGTTCTTCCAGAGAACCCATGTTCAATTCCTAGCACACTCCGGAGGATCACAGCTGTCTGCAACTCCCGTCCCAGGGGATTGAACACTTTCTTCTGGCCCTCACAGGCACCAAGCACACATACAGTGCACAGACATGCACGCAGGCCAAACACTCATACACAAAAAGTAAAAGACAGAAAAAAGGCCAGGCATGGTAGCACATGTTGATAATCCCAGATCTTAGGAGGTAGGGGCAGGAAGAACAGGAGTTCAACGCCAGCCTGGGCAACATGAGACCCTATCTCATAAAAATAAAAAACAGGGGGCTGGAGAGATGGCTCAGAGGATAAGAGCACTGATTGCTCTTCCCAAAGGTCCTGAGTTCAATTCCCAGCAACCACATGGTGGCTCACAACCATCTAAACATGAAATCTGGTTCCCTCTTCTGGCGTGCAGGTGTACATGCTAACACGCATTGCATAAATAATAAATAAATAAATCTTTAAAAAAATAAAATAAAAATAAAAAACAAAGTGGTTGGAGAGATGGCTCAGCGGTTAAGAGCACTGCCTACTCTTCCAGAGGTCCTAAATTCAATTCCCAGAACCTACATAGTGGCTCATAACCACCTATAATGGGATCTGATTCTCTTTTCTGTCATGCAGACATACATGCAAATAGAATACTCATTTACATAAATAAATAAATCTTAAAAAAAAAAAAATATGGGCTGAAGAGATGGCCCAGTGGTTAACAGCAATTGTTGCTGTTGTAAGAGACCTGACTTAGATTCTCAACACTTACACTCATAACCACCTGTAACGCCCAGGCACACATAAAATAAATCTAGAAAAAGAAAGAAAAGTTCGTTGGGTAGGTATTATAGCCTATAATACCAGTACTTATTATACTGGTATAATACCAGCTACAGTGCTGGTATAATACTATAATACCAGTACTTAATAGGTTGAGGCAGGAGAATCAGGAGGTCAAGTTCATTGATGGCTACATGCCACTTGAGGCCAGCTGAGATTCATGAAACACTGTTTCAAAAACAAAACAACAACAAAAACAAATCCTGATTTCAAGCTGCTCCAAAGCTATAGAAATAACAGCAGTGTAGACAAGACAAGAGAATAGACATAGAAACAGAACAGAAATGTACACACAAGCCTTTTCTTTCAGACAGGATCTCACTCTGAAGGCCAGGCTAGCCCGAGACTTTGTTGATCCTCTTGCTTGAGCCTCCAGATTGCCGTGTTTCACAGTGAATTGTCCCACATTTAGCCTATGCTAATGTGTTTGCTTTTGCAGCTCTGGAGATCAAGTCTATAGCCTTGTGTATGCTCTGTAAGAATGCTACCACTGAGCTACACCTCCAATTCCCATGCTTCCTTTATAGGGTGATGAGAAACATCAATGCAGGGAAGAAAGCGGCTAGAGCTCTTCTGTGGTGTGAGTCCCTGACATCCTACGCTCATGCCCAGTGGGTCTCACGCAAACAAGGATCACCAAAGAAGCCGAGAGGCAAGTCTTCCATGGAGAAGAACGGAGCATGCAAAGGACATGATCTTTTCTGACAGGTCTGTTTCCTTTCGGCTCCACCCAAAGCTAGAGAGACAGACTTACAGGACCTTGCCAGCTTGTCCAATGCTGGCCCGAGAGCCTGGTGGCGCTCCTACCTTCAGGTTAATGATGCCACTCTTCTGCACTGGGAGGTAAGTGACCCGAAAGCCCTCAGCCTCCAGTGAGCGGCACGAATCCAGCACACACTTGTGTTCCGTCTGGGTAGTGACCAAGTGCTTTTTCCTTGAACTGTAGAACCTGGCCACTCCCTAAAAATCGATAACAAAAGAAAAGAATAACATACTTGGAGGTAGCAATGGCATGAATCCTACTTATAAACAGTCTTTCTGTCAATGTATGCCACAGGTGTGCTAAAGACACTCTGTGTCACAGACCAGATCTCCACTCATGTGTGTGACACTTTTAACATCAGGAGAAATTATAAAGACAGGTTAAGAAGAACTGAAATGCCCAGAACCTCAAATGCTGTAATAAAATTAAGAAGTGATAACACTTATGTTATTAAAAAGACAAACAGCTCTACAAGGAGAGCAACAGAACAAAAAATCTGGGCACAGGGGTCTTTTCTGAGACTGATCTCCAACCAAGGACCATGCATGGAGATAACCGAGAACCCCTGCACAGATGTAGCCCATGGCAGCCCAGTTCACATGGGTTCCCTAGTAATGGGAACAGGGGCTGTCTCTGACATGAACTCATTGGCTGGCTCTTTGATCACCTCCCCCTGAGGGTGGAGCAGCCTTACCAGGCCAACAGAGGAAGACAATGCTGCCAGTCCTGATGAGACCTGATAGGCTAGGGTCAGAGAGAAGGGGAGGAGAACCTCCCCTATCTGTGGACTGGGGGAGGGGTGTAGGAGAAGTTGAGGGAGAGTGGGTGGGACTAGGAGGAGACAGGAGTTGAGGGACAGGGCTACAGTGGGGATACAAAGTGAATAAACTGTAGGTAATAATTTTAAAAAAGACAAACAAACAAAACATACCCAGGTATAGCCCACATACCTATGCTCTCAGCACTCAGAGGCATCTGCTGGAAGACACCTACAAACTGAGACCATCTTGGTCTACATAATAAGTTGCAGGCCACTCAGGGCTACTTAGCAAAGGAACAAAAGGAACAGAGGAGGAAAATAAGAAGGAAATAAGCATAGCTGAGTACAATAGTCTGTAGTCCTTGCTACTTTGGAGACTGAAGTGGGAGGATCATTTAACTCATAAGTTTGAAACTACCCTGAGGAACATAGTGATATTGTCTCAATAAAAAAAGAAAAAAAAAAGATGAAAGATGAAATGAGGGCTGGAGAGATAGCTCACATACGTGAGGACCTCGTAGAGCTGGAGAGCTGGCTCATCAGTTCACAGCACTCACTACTCTTACAGAGAACCTGTAAGCTTGCAAGATGATTCAGTTGGCAAAGACACTTGTCTGATGCCTTGAATTTGATACTCAGAACCTAAGTAAAGGTGGAAGGAGATTTCAGATTCCACAAAGCTGTCTGCTGACTCCCTACACATTTTTTTTTTTTTCTTAAGGTAGAGGAAAAAACAGGGAGAAGAGAAGGGCATAGCTGGAAAAAAAAAATCTGAGTTCAAACGATAGAGGAGCAGGAATCTCTAAACCCAGGGCGTGTCTGGTTCCCTTGTGTTTCATTCTGTCCTTCACTTTCCCAAATGGCCCACACGGGCTAAGGAAGTGCTCCACTACACAGTACCCTCACCCCCTTACCTTAATTGCTATGTTGTTGGATTCAGTAGCTCCACTAGTGAAAATGATCTCTCGAGGATCAGCTCCAATCAGGGATGCAACTTGCTGAAAGCCAAGAGCCAAAGATATATAACATCAGTCTCTGGATAGCAATGGAGCTACAGATACAGCTAGGACAGAATTCTGAACCACGAGAAGCTCCACTGCATTCTACCAAGCAACTGCCTACAGATAAATTCTGTGCCTATGAGGTCTGACCAGAGCTAAAAATGGAACCAATTGTTACGGCTCAGATACTCTACCCCTTCTCCACTCTCAGACAGGCCAATAAGAATGTCAACTGTGGGTTGGAGAGATGGCTCAGAGGTTAAGAGCACTGACTGCCCTCCCTGAGGTCCTGAGTTAAATACCCAGCAACCACATGGTGGCTCATAACAATCTATAATGAATCTGAAGCTCTCTTCTGGCATGCAGATACAGGCAGACAGAACAATGTATACATAATAAATAAATAAATCATAAAAAAAAAAAAAAGAATGTCAAATGGGAGCTGGGTATGGTGACATAACACCTTAATCCCAGCACTTGGGACGCAGAGGCAGGTGGATCTCTGTGAGTCTGAGGCCAGCTTAGTCTACAAAGAGTTCCAGGACAGCCAGGAATGTTACATAGAGAAACCCTGCCTCGAAAAAAACAAAAATATAAAAATGATAACAACAACAACAATAAATATTGTTAAAAGTAGCTCAGTTGGTAGAGTGCTTGCTAATATTTATGAATCCCTGGGTTTGATTTTCAGCACTTCACAAACCATGGAAGGTTGTGATGCACACCTGAAATTAAAAGCACTCGGAGGTGAGGTAAGACAGCTAACATGAGTTTGAGGCCAGTCTGGGATACACTGTGAGTTCCAAGCCACCTTAGATGAAAACGTGAAGCTGGCCTCAAACAACTAAATAGGGGCCAGTGAGATGGATCAGTGGATAAAGGCACTCTCTGTAAAAGCTGACGACCCAGGGTTCTTTCCCTGAGACCTATATGGTAGGGGAAAGACTGCTTCAAGTTGTCCTCTGACCTCCACACTGCACACTTAGGTACATGTGCTTAGGTACATATGTATACATGTACATGAACGTGCGAAAACGCACATGCATGCATGCACAGACACAAATGCACACACACTGGTAATTTTAAAAAATTATTTTTGCTGGGAGTGGCAGAGCACATCTTTAATCCCAGCACTCTACAAGCAGAGACAGATGGATCTCTGTGATTCAAGGCCAGCCTGGTCTACAGGGCGAGTTCTAGGACAGTCAGGCCTGTTACACAAAGAAATCCTGTCTTGAAAAACGAAAAAAAAAAAAAAAAAAAAAAAAAAAGTCAGGTAAGGAACTGTAGAGACGGCGGCTCAGTAGTTAAGAGCACTAGTTGCTCTTTGCTCTTGCAGAGAACCCAGTTCCAGTTCCTAGCATCCACATGGTGGCTTACAACCATTCTCAACTTCCACTTCCAAGGAATCTGAGGGCCTCTTCTGGCCTCTGCAGGCACTCAGCACATACATGCATGTACACACATACAGAACGATACAGAAAGATACACACACACACACACACACACACACACACACACACACACGAACACACACAGAGGCAAAACTTCCATATGCAACAAAATGTTTTTTTAAAGATTTATTTATTTATTATATATGCAATGTTCTGTCTGCATGCCAAAAGAGGGCACCAGATCTCATTCCAAATGGTTATGAGCCACCATGTGGAAGGTGGGAACTAAAAACGTCAGGACCTCTGGATGAGCAGACACTGCTCTTAACCTCTGGGCCATCTCTCCAGGCCCCATAAAATACTTATTAATGACAAGTTTTGTTTAAAATATATATATATATATATATATTTTTTTTTTTTAACATTTATCCATTTATCTTTGGTTAGCAGACTTCCATGCCACAACATGTGGATTTTGGGTTTCAAAATTCAGTTATTAGGTTAAGCTATCCATGGAGGCATCCCACTGACCCAAGAAATGCATTTTTAAAACGTGTTTACTGAACTCTTACTATGTACTTTTTGAGCTACATGTGTTAACTTTCACCAGCACTGTCTCATTTACCCAAAAATCTTATAGAGCATGAACTCTTTCGCTTTCTACTTGATAGTTAAGTTTAAGGCTTAGAGAAAGAGTACTTTACCTAGGGAATGTGGGAACTAACTAAACACCTGTAGTGAAACTCCAGAGCTGCTCTCTGAATCTCTTCTAGACTATCAGCCACTCCCCTACCCCCGCTAAGAAAGACATGCCTCCCACAGCCACTGAAGCTGACTTCCAAACTTCTCAGGGTCGTTATGCTAACCTGGCGGGCATGTTCCATGGCTGCCTCACTCTCCCAGCCATACGCATGAGTCCGAGAATGTGGGTTCCCGTAGTAGTTGACGAGGTAAGGGAGCATGGCATCAAGCACCCTGGGATCCTGAACACAAGAGAATACATCAGCCTCTCTGAGCCCATTATCACCTCAGAACCTGCTCCATCCGCTGATAACTGCACACCTTGCTCGGTGTGTTGCCAACATTTCAGATGCTGCCTGCTTTCTCCCACCTCTTCAGACAGTGACCAACCTGGAATATCTCCACCTCAATACCACCTTAAATCACAATGTTCCACCATTCATTCACTCACCTAGTGTGTAAACACTGTCTTCGATATTTTCTTATTTACTGAAGGATAAGGTTTTATGTAGTTCAATCTGCCCTTAAATTTATAACCCTGCTGGGTATAGTGATACACGCTTTTAATCCCAGCATTCGGAGGTAGAGGAAGCCAGATCTCTGAGTTGGAGACTAACCTGGTCTACAGAGGGAGTTCCAGGACAGCCAGGGTTACATAAAGAAACCCTGTCTCAAAACATTCCCCACTGTACCCCCCAAATCATCCATGTAATCCTTCTGACAACAACTGTATCTTGTCCTTTTCTTTCTTTTTTTTAAAAAATGATTTATTTGATTTTCTTTTATGTGTATTAGTGTGAAGGTGTCAGAGAGCTTGGAATCAGCATTACAGACAGTTGTGAGCTGCCATGTGGATGCTGGGAATTGAACCCAGATCCTTTGGAAGAGCAGACAGTGCTCTTAACCACTGAGCCATCTCTCCAGTGCCCCCCCACTTTTAAAGACAGGGTCTCTAGCTTAAGAAACCCTCAAACATACATCTTAGCTGAAAACGATCTTAAACGTTTGATCCCACTCCTCCTGCCTCTATCTCCCCAATACTTTAGAGTTGTGTGGAATTAGAGTCGTATACAACCATGCCTAGCTTTATGCAGTGCTAGAATCCAAACCAAAGGCTTTGTGCACGCTGGGCAAGGGCTCTACCATCTGTATTTGCATCCCTCACAGTCCTGTTCTTACACCTGTTTTTACAGGTGGTCCCACTGCTGCAACAAAATGATTTACAAAGAGCTGTGACTTGCCAGTGTGGTAGTGTGACCCCAGCATTCAAGAGGAAGAGGCAATAGGATCTCTGTAAGTTCAAGTCCAGCCTAATCGACATAGGTAGCTCAAGGTTGAGTCAGGACTGAACAGTGAGACCCTGTCTTAAAAAAAAAAAAAAAAAAAAAAAAAAAGCCAAAGTGCTGAGATTTGATGTAGTTAGGCAAATATCCCTGTGATCACAAGGATGAAAAGCTGTATTAATAATGGAATGGGGGCATAGCTAGCATTATGATATGTGCTTAGCACCGGCATACTAGGTTTTTGCTGTTTTAAAAACCAGCTTCTCTGACTGAAGAGATACAGCTCAGTGGTTAAAGCAGTGACTGCCTTTTTAGAGGACCCAGTTTTAATTTACATGGCTACTCATGAGGGGCTATATAACTCCAATTCCAGGGGATCCAATGCCCTCTTCTGGCCTCCACAGGCACTGCATGCATGTGGTACACAGACAAATATTCAGGAAACGCTTGTAAGATGAAAGTAAATAAATGAACACGATCTCATGCATCCCTGGCTAGCCTCGAATTGACACAGTAGATAAGAATGACCTTAATATTCTGATCTTCCTGACTCCACCTAGTATTGCATTACAGGGATTAAGTTTTATATGGCTCTGGGGATTAAACTCAGGGCTTCCTGCATGGCAGGTAAGTACCTGACCAACTGAGCCACTTGAGCCACACACCTATCCCCAATAACTATTATTATTGAAAAGTTTATCAAGTGCTGGACTGCTATGTCTTTCTGCTCATTTAACACATGGCCAAATTCACACAGGTACTACATGGTAGTCCTGCTAATTCCAGAGCCCATGGACTTGTTTCTGGTTTTTTTTTTTTTGCTTGTTTGTTTGTTTTGTTTTTTAAATTTTTACATAGGTTTGATATGCTTGTTTCTGTGGGTTGCTTTTTTTTTTTTTTTTTTTTTTTACTGTTTTTTGTTGTTGTTGTTTTTAATTTTTACGTAAGTTTGAAACTCCCTATGTGGTCCACGCTGCCCTTGAGCTTGCTCAAACTCTCCATGTCATAATGTTCCCCTGAGCATTTACTATTAGCTATAATACCTTACTGTAAGTGATTTGACCAAGGTCAATATCTAAAACAGTAAAGCCTTTTCTGGTGAATTAAAATCTAAGACTGGTGATACCTGGCTCCTTCTTCTAGAACATTCAATGTTTCTCAATTGTACAGAAATCTAGCCTACCGTTCGGATTTGTCCTTATGATTTGTCTTCTACAAAGAGCCTGGGAAGGGGGGGGGGGAGCTCCCTCTTCGTCCTTACCAGAGGAGTTGTAGCCTGCACATCCATATACAGAGGTCGCAGCACCGCCTCTCCCTCTGAGGGAACAGCCGAATGGGGAGCATGATCTACAACTGACAACAGAGTAGAGTGGAAAAGTGAGAAATGATGCAACCATGGACGCAGGGCACACAAGAAAACGGACGGACAAGGCTTCTTCGAGGTGAATTTAAGCAGGGCTGAGGTCAAATGTCAAAGGACAACAACAACACGCAGTAAAAGGCAACGAGTAAAGTAATAGAGACAGGGTTCCATGAAGGGACGGTGGCAGTAACAGGGAGCAATGTTCAAACTATCTAGCAGAGAGTGGGATGGACTAAAAAAACAAAACCACTTAGAAGAAAAGTGAAAAGCGCAGGTTCCTTCAAAGGCTCATGGCCGGAGGAGCTCTGACTAGCATTTTTAAGATACAGATTGTCCAGTAGATTTCTGAAGGATGAGACCCCGTGCTCTGGCGACGTGCGTGGCAGGATGGAAGGGCCATCCTAAGAAAATGTGAGACCAAGCTTAGAGTCTGGGGGACGGAACGCGGCGGGCAGGCTCCGCCACAAAACACTGCGCGGCAGCACCGACCCGTGGGGTTCGCGCAGCCGGGAAGGGTGAGAGCGAAAGGAAAGGGAGCGTACCGCGCAGGCGCAGTCCCCGGGTGGGCGCCGTGGACCTCGGACAGGCCACCGCGGCAGCCGCCGCCGCCGCCCGCCTCCAAGCGGCTCGCAGCAGCATGTTCCGAGCGGCAGAGCCCACCATCCGCAGCGCTTGCAAGTCCTCAGCCCATGCTCCCGGAAGTGCCTGCCCCGCGCTCCGGAAGCGATCCCGCGGGCCGCGAGCGCCCTCCGCGTAGCCTTGGGTCTGAGACGTAGAGCTGAGCGACCGCGGCCGCGAACGAGGTGAGGTGGGGCCCGACCGTGCGGGGCGTCGCGCGTGCGGGGACCGTCACCGCGAGGAGGGTGGTGGGGCCGTGCTGCGGGCCGGCTTCTGTCCTGGGCTCTGCGGAAGCCTTTGGTGGGCCGTCGGCCGACGCCACTGCTGGCGGCCGGGCCCTCACTGTCGTGGCCCTCTCACCCCAGATGCCGGTGGCCGTGGGTCCCTACGGGCAGTCCCAGCCCAGCTGCTTCGACCGCGTGAAGATGGGCTTTGTCATGGGTTGCGCCGTGGGCATGGCGGCCGGGGCGCTGTTCGGCACGTTCTCCTGTCTCAGGTGAGCCGCGCGGGCGGGACTTCCTGGCTTCCACTCCAAAGCCCACTCGGTTGAGGTTGGAAGCGCAGTTCTAGGGATGTGAGCTCCTGAGTCAAAATGGCTTTCCGACTCCTTTGTACAGTGACTTCAGGCAAGTTGGAGGCTAGTTTCTTCGACTGTAGACGGGGGCAGTGCACTCACCTCCAGTTTTCGAAGAACCAGTCATGTTAGTATGTTTACACATGATCTGGCACATGGGAAATGCCCAGTAGGTTGTTGCATGGCATTTTAACCTCCAGCTGTGTGTGACTAAGCTTTTTGAGCCGTTTTACTATCGTGAGAATTAGGTGTAGAAATAAAGCCGATAAACTTAATTCGAACTTAAACTTAGTCAGATGTTCTACCTCTGAGATACACTGTGCTATTCCAAAGGTCACCAACACATTTGGATACTTATTACTGTTAATCCACCATTAGTTAATGTCTTGCTAGTGGTGGTAGCACACGGCTTAGGTTTACAAACTCCGCAACTACACTATTTTATTTAGTTATTTCCCCCCCCGCCCCAAGACAGGGTTTTTCACTTTAACATCCCTGACTGTCCTATAACTCTGTAGATAGACCAGGCTAGCCTCAAAATCAGAGCTCTGCCTGCCTCTTGCCTCCCAAGCGCTGAGAAAAACGGCACACGCTACCAGGACCCTGCTGCAGAGCTTGTTATTTTAACTTAGGTTAAACTTCAGTAACAACAAAAATCATCTAGAAGACAAATGTCTTACTGGATAACGTATGCCATAGAGGCACAGTCATGACTGCCTACGTACTTCATACTGTATCTCTGCCTTCTACAAGCTTAAAGGAATTAATGCAGTACTCATAATGTCCTAGAGCGCCTGGAGAGAGATTTTTCTTATCGTACCATATCCTGACACAGGGCAGGATGGCTAAGGCCTGTAATCCCAGCAATCTGGAAGACAGAGGCCTGTGAGTCCAGGACAGCCAAGAGTACACAGAGAAACCCTGCCTTGAAAAAGAACAAAACAAAACCCAAAGAATGACATAAGATAAAGGGATCATCAAGATGTTAATGCTTAGCCTGTTTCAACACTGATTACAAAGGGGAAGTTAGTTCAAATCTCTTTCCTTTATGTTTTATTCCCAACTGCCCCTTCTTGCTTTCCTCAGGATCGGAATGCGGGGTCGGGAGCTGATGGGCGGCATTGGGAAAACCATGATGCAGAGTGGCGGCACGTTTGGCACATTCATGGCCATCGGAATGGGCATTAGATGCTAATCAGGGCCCTGATTGCCTACTACATGTATACTTCCCCATCCATTTCGACACCTGTACAATAATAAAGCTTTTTCTTCTCATTCTGTTTGTTTTTACTCCAAGGACGTAGCACTGAAAATGGTAAACTATAAGGCTAAAGAGGTTGTTAAGTCCCAGTAACCACATGGTGACTCAACATTCTGTAACTCCAGTGCCAACAGCCTTAAGCAATCTTTTGACATCTGCAAGCATCATACAGGCACATCGCTAATACATGCAAGAATGCCATTGTAATTAAATCTCTAGCCAGGTTAACAAGTGGCACAAAATTTCAGTGAGCACTCTGGATAGGGGGCCAGCCACTGCTGTAGTAGACCTGCTCAAAAAATTTTTTAAAGAAAAAAAATTTAGGGGGCTGGAGAGATGGCTCAAGAGTTTAACAGAACTGGCTGTTCTTCCAAAGGTCCTGAGTTCAATTTCAAGCAACCACATGGTGGCTCACAACCATCTTTAGTGAGATCTGGTGCCCTCTTCTGGCCTGCAGGCACACATGCAGGCTGAATATTGTATAAATACATCTTAAAAAAAATTAAAACATAACTAGATGCTTGTTGATAAAAGTGAACAATTTATACAAGATCACACATAGTCAAGAGTCTTTTCACAAGAAAACTGAGGTGGTCTTTACAACTTCAGACTGATTTATCTGATATGGGACCATTTGAAAGTTTTCTCAGCTGACCTAACCAGTCCCAACATTGAGCACTGTAATCAGTGCTCTACAGTGAGGCAAGTATCCAGACCTAACTGAAGATTTCCTGTTGTGCATTATCCTTCAACTTGAATATATACAATGACACTTCAATATGCTTTTTTTAACAGGTTATTCAAGACTGACTTGCCCACTCCCCCTTTATCTAGGAGCTGGGATGTGTTGGTTGGCAAACTTAAACATGAGATCATGCTTCAGTCATTCGCTATAGAACAGTGAAAGGTCCTAAACTTAATTCTAAGGTTGACTCAACCTTTGAAAGCAATAATGTGAAAGGTTAAATAGTGCACTGGAATCCGTATTTCCTATTTTGACAATTTAAGAAAAATAAAAAATGGCTGGGAAGAGAGCTCAGTAAGTAATAGTACTTCTTGCTCAGACTGGGTTCAGTTCCCAGCACCACCCACTCTGTGGTTCACAACCATCATAACCACATTTCAAGAGCACCTCCACAAATACTGAGCATGCATGTAATACAAAACATATTTGCAGGCAAAATCTTCATACATAAATGATTTAACTTTTTATGAACAGGAATAGGTCAGAAAAGGTAACCTCTGAGATTGAGGACTGCCTGGTCTACAAAACTAGCTTCAGGACACTCAGGATTAGAGACCTAATCTCAAAACACACATTATGGGATATAGCTCAAGACCATCACAAAACAGAAATCTTTGTGCAGCACTTAGAAAAAGAAGTCAATTTAATAGGATTTAAATAATAAAAAAGGAAAACATTTCCTGAAGTAGTACTAGTGTACTTTGGAGATCAAAATAAAATCCTTCCCACTGCCAAGCCAAGCATGTCTTTAATGGCAAACTGAAGAGGCAAATGCAGGTGAATCTAAAAAGGAGTAATAGCCAGGGCTATAGAAACAAATTCTGTCTCAAACCGTTGCCAGCATTTTGCCAGAATACCTAAACATATAAACAAATGCAGTGTAATGTGAGGGCATTTCCAAGGGCAGCTTGTTTTGACAGGACTATGCCTTGGTGGTTGTTGACACCAAACACTGGATGTAACTTAAGGTGGAAAAAAGTCACTCACTGAAAATATGGAAGTACTACTAAGAAGGAAGCAAGCTTATACCTAACCTCATCACCCCACAGGCTGAGGCATTTAACACGTTCAGTTTGTGATTAACCTGAACTACAATGCCTACACTTGAAAACAACAAAAAAACTATGGAAAGCCTCTGCCTAACTTTTACAATCATAACATTAGAAAAACGAAAATTTTCTTGTGACCTTTTTCAGAGAAGTTTATTCGAGTGGTTCTTACAAAGATTGTTGCAATATGAAAGTCATTTGTTTGATAGAAATATCAAGCTGTCTTGTCAAACACACTGAAGTAACCCAAAAATATATTTCAGAGCTCACAGAGCTTAAAAAGAGCAAAGATTATATGCAACCAGACAAAACCTATTTCTGCATTTCCTATCTCTTGCCAAGACTGCTTTGCTTGAACTCTTACATCAGCCATCTTAAGGAAATGCAGGGATCATTTTGTTTGGAATCTCAAGACACACTAAAACACACATTATTTACAAAGAAACTTTTACAGATACATTAATTGAAAAGTTACCATCAAGAAATATAATCTTGAAATCCCCTTCTTGCCAAATGATCAAGGTAAGATGCTAAACAGCCCTTTAGCTGCCTAGACTTTCCATACACTAAAAGGGTATTCCAGAAACCTTTGATGAAGCATGAGCCAAATGCATGAACGTGAAATCTAACTGCTGTGTAAAAAGTTAGGCTTCTGAAACATTAAAACATTACCTGTCTGCCTTTATACAGAAATCACATTTGTTCCCCTATAGCTATTCTATATATCCTTAACGTAATTTTCTACATGGACATTTAAAACGGCAGAACAAGAGAACAGCTTTGAATAAAGTAGGATTTGCTAGTTAGGGAGAATGAGCACACTGCATTCCTGTTAACATTTTTATTTTTCAAGATAACAGGAGTTGTATACAAATGACAGTAGACCCTTGCCTCTTTATTTTTATCTAAATAAAAGATAACTCAAGATGAATTCTCAAGAAAAAAAAAAGCTATATACATAGGGACTATATCTTCCTTCATCGTCTACTTGGAACCAGTAGTTGTGTTGCTGTCATAGAATCAGGAAACAGGTTGTGGTAAGTTGGAAGAGGTACATAGGCTGCTGTTATCATTTTACCTGTAGAAAAAAAGAAAAAAAAAGCTGAGTAAGCCATTTTTACTTAATGCTAATCATGTTCAACATAAAGTTTGTGTAGAAGTCACTCACCAGCAAACCACCTGCCATGCAATGCATTGACAGCAGCAATAGCTGCAGCAATTGATGGGCACTTCACATAAACATTGCCCTAAAGTGCAAAAAGGGAAAAGAAAAAAAAGCAAAAAGCGGTTGTAAGTGAATGTTCACAAGTATATACAAGATGTTTTCAGAAACTTATTCTTGATCTATATTTCTTCTTTTAGAATCCCCCTCCTTTTACTTTCAATTCAAGAGTAAGAAGGTGTAACAGTTACTAGGAAAACGACTGCAAATTAGCTGAACTGTAACACCTCATCAAATTTTCACTATTTTGAACTTGTCTTTGTTTCGGAGGGTGTATTTAGCTACCACATTGAAATTCCTTTCTATTGTAACCACTAAAAAAGCATAATGGTGCATTCCTATATTAAGTCGCAGCACATGGGAGAGTAGGTCAAAAAGAGCTACAAAGTCATGCATAAAACAATGCACTAAAAGGAAAACCATAAGGGAATGTAGTGACCACCACATACACTAATTGTGTGAAGAGTAAGATACAGAACAGAATTAATAGATACTGAAACTGTTTACTTGAAAATAAAAAATGTGCATACGGCTTTAATCCCAGCTCTCTTGGAGGCAGAAGCAGGCAGATCTCTGTGAATTCAAGGACTGACTTGCCTGCTTTAAAGAGCAAGTTCCAGGACAGCCAGGGCTGTTACAAAAATAAACCCTCTCTTAAAAAACAAAAATCCAAAATACCTGAGCTGAATTCTTGTCAACATAAATATGAATAACTCCTCCGTGTTTATTACATTCTTCAATCACATCATCCTTAATCTCTGTATCCCATCCAACTTCTTCTTCTCTGTAAGAAAGTAGCAAAAATGATGAAATTACATTCAGGTAGTAAAAGTACTAAGTACTAAGCCAGGGAGATCTATTATTCAATTAGTAATTGAATAAGATAAAAAATTTAAAAAAGTTCTAATATTTAAATGATAAAAGAAATTTCCAAAAGAAAATGTAGTGTACAGATATAAACGGAGGGCAGCCCAGAAGACAGACAGGTTTACAGCCTGCATGGACCACAGTTACTGACTGATCACAAAGTTACCCCTGAAAAATAAGACCTTGTAATAGTAAATAGTGGTATAACTGCATGGCATGTGGTACCCTACGTATAAACACCACTATAGGAAAAATAAATTCCTGTAAGAAATTGGATGGATTAGACGGGTAGTACCCAGGGTCAGTCTCCAGCACACAACCATCCTTATAGATAGTTCCAAGGGATCTGATGCCCTCTTGTGACCTTCCTGGACACTGATGTGATACACTATATACATACATGAAGACAAAATCATACATTCTCAACACAAACAAAAAAAACAGGAATAAAGAAGTGGTGGTAAGAGACATGATAGAAACATACTTACGTTTGAGGGTTAAACATGTTAGAAAGTTGGAAACACTGTGTTGCAAGTGGTTGAACAGATGCAGCTGCAGCTAAGGCTGAGGCTAAAAAAAGAAGAAGAAAAATTAGTTTCATTGAAAATGTGTAAATATCCCTGGACAATTAACTAAACTCAACCCTACCAAACAGTGGTGGAGATATTGTAAAAATCACCTTCTTTAACATGACATAAAACAGTTGCGCACACCATGATAGAATAGTTAAGCCAAGCAGGCCTGCCTTAAATCATCTTTAGCTTAACTTATAATAGGCAACATTATGTATAAACATTCACTATTTAGAAAATGAGAATAGGAAATAATGCACATACACGTCTCATACAGTTGTAAATAAATGTCTCTAAAAATTTCAGAAGCTGCAGTGTGAGCTTAGCTGTTGGAGTGTTTGTCTAGCATGCTGAGTTTGAGCCCAGCAGAGCAAAAACTGGGTCCACCTAGAATCTTAGCCTGAGACAGGCAAATGCAGGAGGAGCAGATGAGTTAGGCAAACATGGCAAATTCTAGGTTAGACAGCAATATATGAAACCCTGTTTCTATAAAAACCTTCTACTTTAAAAAGGGGCAAAATTGTACACTCTTTTAACACCAGAACTTTGGAGGAAGAGTTAGGCGCACCTAAGATTTCTGTGTAAGCCTGGGCTACAAAGTGGGTTCTAGGACAGCCAGGACTACACAGAATGACCAGATCTCAAAATGAAAATGGGAAAAAAACAAAACCACACCTATCAGGGTTTGAGGACACACTAAATCTATTAAAAACACCACCAACCAACCAAACAAAATCAAAAACCCTCCATACAAATTATCCTATAAATGAAATGGGAAGAGACTAAATTTATACTGCAATGATAGGAATGATTATAAATGCAGTTATTGGAAAGTGCAAACACCCTTCACTTTTTCTTTGTTTTGTCAGAAACATATAGTTATATTGTTTTTTTAAGATATGTAACACCCAGAGTGGTGGTGCATGTCTTTAATCCCAGCTCTCAGGAAGCAAGGACCTGTAACACAGAGAAACCCTGTCTCGAAAAACCAAAATAGTAAATATGTACAGATTTTTTAAAAAAAGATGTGCATATGAGTAAATATTCAGAACAACGCAGGTAACTATGCAGCCTGTGAAATTTTATTTCTATCATATATATATATACAGTTACCTGTTGCCCTCAGAGGTCATAAGAGTATGTTAAATACCCCAACATTTGCCATATACTATTGTAAGCTATCATGTGGCTTCTGAGAAACAAACCTAGGTCTTGAAGCAAGCAGCTTACATTCTCTGAACCAAAGAGAAATCTCTCACCTTTCTTTTCAAAACATGAACTGTACTATGATTAACTTTAAAAGACAGGGAAAAGTGTTCCCCCAAAAAATAAATGAATAAAAGAAACATTTTAAATGATTTCTGTATGAGCAAAAAAAAAAAAAACAAAAAAAAAAAAAAAAAAAAAAAAAAAAAAAAAAAAAAAAAAAAAAAACAAAAAAAAAAAACAACAAAAGCTTACCTATGGTATGAATATAATATTTTGAAAATACTGGGCACTGCTATAGTGAACCTTAAAGCATACATGTCCATACTTAAACATTTTTCCATGTTAGATGCTGCAAAGAATTCTATTTGGTGTTCTTTAGGTTTGGGTTTTCTCTGATTAAGACAGGGACTGATGTCACTCCAGTTTTCACAGAATTACAAAAGATGATATTATCAGCTGTTACAGAACTCACCGTAATCATATTATCTGACCAAATCCCATTCCAATGCATAACAACAAACAGCTATGGATACAATAATTCATTAAGAAATCAAAGACGAAGCCAGGTATGGTGGTGCACCTGTAATCCCAGCACTTCAGAAGGCAGAGGCTGTTGGACCTCTGTGAGTTCGAGGCCAATCTGGTGTACAAAAGGAATAAAGGACAGCCAAGTCTACATAGAGAAACCCTGTCTCAAAACAACAACAAAAAAGAAATCAAAGCCAAATGGTGGTAGCATATGCCTTTAATACCAGCAATCTGGAGGCAAAGGCAGGTGTATCTCTGTGAGCTCAAGGCCAGCCTGGTCCACAGAGCAAGCCCCAAAACAGCCAGGGCTGTACAGAGAAATCTCAAAACAAAATAAAATGAAAATATAATAAATAAAAATTCTGGTAGAATTACAAATGCTTTTCCTTCTGAGAATTAAGAAGCCTTGTATTTCCTTCTATGAACAAGTATTACTTGGCAGAGTCGAAGTCCTAGCAAGCTAACTTACAAATCTAGGGTAGAACTACTTAAGAAATACAACATAAATACATCTTTAAAAAAAATAATATCATCAACCCAATATATGTAATTAAAAAGCCCCAGTATCTAGGAGGCAAAGTAAAGCAGACCAGCCTGCGCTACATAGTTCCAGGACAGTCAGAGCTACACAGTGGAACGCTGTCTCAAAACAAAAACAAGTATGCATAACTAAAAAGTTAAGAAAACTACTGCGCAACTACTGATTATGAATACTACACATAAAGCAAAATACAATAGGATTATTGTAGCTAATGAGTAATAGTCTTCTAATTACTACTCTTGACAAAACTGCTGATCATGGAATTCTTAAACTTAAAATACATTTAATTTCCATCTAAAATTAGTATGTCATAATTACTGATATGAAATCACAGACAGTAGGCCATGATTTCAAGTCTTGGCCAGATACTACATGCCAATACAAACCAATCAGTATAACATTATCAAATAATTCATTGGACACAGAATTCTAAACTTAAGTAACTTTTTGATAAAGATTTATTCATGTATTATATGTATTATGAGAGCTATCTTCATATACATCAGTAGATGGAATCAGATTCCATTACGGAATGGTTTTTGGGAATTAAATTAAGGACCTCTGAAAAGGCAGCCAGTGCTTTTAACACAAGGGCCAGCTCTCCAGCCCTTAAGTAATCTTAAGACCAGGCACACCTTTCATATTCTAGATCTGGTGTGGTAAATACTGAGAATATTTCACTGTCTTTTATGTAAACTTTATAGGTAGATAAAAGCATGACAGAAATCCAGAACAGAGTTCTTGGTCCTGCCTTCTTATTTATTTACTTATTTACTTACTTACTTATTTATTTATTTATTATGTGTGCAATGTTCTGCCTGCATGTACGCCTGCATGCCAGAAAAGGCACAACATCTCATTATAGATGTTTGTGAGCCACCATGTGGTTGCTGGGAATTGAAGTCGGACTTCTGGAGGAGTGGTCAGTGCTCCTAACCTCTGAGTCATCGCTCTATCCCTGGGTCTTGGTTTTTTAAGTGTCAAGGACAACACTAGCATGCTAGGCCAGCCCTCTACCAGGGTATCAAACAACTAAAGCTAAGACTGAAAAAAAAATTCAAGCAATACACAACAAAAATAACAAGCAATTTTATCTTCTTTGAATATTAATTCATTGTTACATTTAAATAGCTCAAAATAATGGCAAACTCTATCCAAAGCACAGATTATATTTCAAAGACAAAAAGATGAAAAATATAAGTAACTCACCTTCGGTCTGTTGGGAAAGTCGTGTTTGCAAATCTATAACAAAAGAGAATTCTACAGCTCAGTGCAGGAACAATGAAGAGCCTCAACTAACAGGGTAAATGTCAGGAAAGCATTAATAAAAGAGGACTTCAACAGCAGGGTTTATTAAGATAAACTTAGTAAAATCTGGCAGCAAAACCTCCTTCCCCATTCCTCATTGATAAGGCTTTGGGGCCTATTGTTCCCTCTTATACAAAAAAAATCACTCACTTTTCCTCCTATTCCTAGCATATCCCTTCCCTATCATACATGCTGTTTCACTGATACTACACCTAGAAATGGGAAATGGGGAAAAGGGAGCAAACCAGTCAGAAAATATATTTAAATACCCTGATTGAGAATTCAATTCCAAGTACTTGGGTAATAAAATTTTATAATGGTAGTAAAAATTCAGTATTTCAGGTTATTTTAAAACTGTAAGACCATGTTCACTAACTGACAATTCAGCATTAAACAGAAAGACACTATTCCAATGCCTTGGAATTTATCTTTTAAGAACTTCTTAGATTCAACCTTGTCAATTATTTCTATAAGACATTGACAATTTGATCAATTTTAACATTCTCACCTCCTGTGAAAATTAGTGTTTCTATACAGGAAAGCATATTAAGCAAATCTTACATGTAAATAAAATTTGCAAGGGCTGGCTGGGAAATAAATCAAGCACCTATTAGGTGTGCTCCAAGCCTTTTATCCTAACAATTACAAGGTTAAGACAGGCAGCACTCTGAATTGAGGACAGCCTGATCTATGTAAGAAATTTCAGTACAGCCAGGTTTACATCATTACGAATCCTTGTCTCAAACAAATAAAAAACAAAATCTAATATTGCTATAAAGCTATCATAGCTAATATAACACTGAAGTTCAATTAGGGAAAGGAAAAGACAATAAAACATATTAAGAAAATCTAAACCACTGTTGTATCTAGAGGCATAATAAATTACCTCACCTCAAAATAAGAAAATGCAATTAAAAGACACAGGATGATTGTTCCTGGAAACATGTCAGTGTAACAAGTGTTCATAATGCCTTCAGGGACCAGAAAAAGGCACCAGATCCCTGGAATAGCAGTTACAGATAGCTGAGAGAATGTTAGGTGGGTGCCTGAAATAGAACCTGGAAACCCTGGAAGAGTGCCTATTGCTCTTAACCCTTAATCCATCATTGCAGCCCCTACACGTCAAAGTTTTAGTAATAACCAGCATGACCAATCACTCAAATCTACCTATAAACCTCAGGTGGGCTTTGAACCCATTACCCCAGAAACACAGACTAATTTCAAACCTAACTTCATTTAAGTGACGTGAATTATAGCTGTGAGAAGACCTTGTCTAAACTAACACTATTATCACTCCTATAAAAGTAGGAAATAAATGTTTTCTCACCTCTCTCTAGTATGATGGTCAACCAGTGGGTAACTACCACGTGGGAGAGTTGAATGACCCTTTCACAGGTGTCACCTAAAGCTACCCTGCAGGTATTTATAACATGATTCATAATTTTATCATCGGCGGTCACCACAACATGAGGAACTTATTAAAGGGTAGGAACGTTGAAAGGTTGAGAGCCACTGCTCTAGTGGAATGAATACCTACAACATGACTGAGCATTTTTTTTTCCAACATGAAAATGTGGCCTTGAAAAAAGGAAACATGGCTCTCTCTCTCTTCTCCCTCTTCTACTCCCTGATTCTCTCTCCTCCCTCTTCTCCCTTTTCTCCCTCTCTCTTCCTCTTCTGCTCCCTCATTCTCTCTCTTCCTCTCTTCTTTTCTCTGTCTCTGCTCCCTTCTCCCCCCTTCCCCTAATAAACCAATAATAAAAATAAAAATAAAAGAAAAAAGGAAACATGTTAAATAGTCCTTTATTTCTGGAAACAAGGACTCTCTACACATAACCCTGGCTATCACAGACCAGGCTATCTCTGCCTCACAATAATTATTTTAACTTTAAATTACAGTTTTTGAAGACAGGGTTTCTCTGTGTGTAGCTCTGGCAGTCCTAGAACTCTCTCGGGAGACCATGCTGGTCTCAAAACTCACTGAGCTCCGCCTGCCTCTGTCTCTCAAGTGCTGGGGTTAAAGGCATGAATCTATTGATCAGCCTTTAATTTTTTAAGATTTATTATGTGTACAGTGTTCTGCCTACATATACATCTGTATGCCAGCAGAGGAAAACGATGGTTGTGAGTCACCATGTGGTTGCTGGGAATTGAACTCAGGACCTCTACATGCTCTAGAATCAAGGCCAGCTCTCTTGACCTCTGAGCCATCTCTCCAGACCCAGCCTATTACTTTTTTTTTAATTTATTTATTATGTATACAGTGTTCTGCCTCCATATAACACCTGTACACCACAAGAGGGTACCAAACCTTATTATAGATGGTTTTGAGCCACCATGTGGTTGCTGGTAATTGAACTCAGGACCTTTGGAAGAGGAGCCAGTGCTCTTGACCTCTGAGCCATCTCTCCAGCCCTACTTTTTAAACAATAAAAGCTTATCTTTATTTCTATGTTGTTATCAATGAGTATATGCTGTGTGTGTGGATCCCCTGGAACTAGAGTAAAAGTGAATTGAACTGCTGCCCCTTGAGGTGACTAGAAACCGAAGGGAAACAATTAGACGAAATCACATCCAGCTGCTTAGCAGCTGCTTAGCATCTTAACCTCGGTACTCCAGAGTGTTTCTGAAATGAGGTCACTTCAATTACAGAAAGCAGGACTGTGTGACTACTGATTCACAGAAATTGTAAACCACATACTGAGATTTCAAGGTCAGGAATATGGTTTAATCAAAAATCAGGGCCTTTCTTAATTTTAGATGTGTAACAATGTGAAGACAAAGGGCCCTTCCAAAATTATTTTAAATATGTGCACAGGCATGTATTATAGGTGTGTATCTGAACAAATCTACAGTCAAACTGTAAGATTCACTTGGAATGGGACTTAAATGAAGAGTGAAACGCAATCTCAAGTCTCACTCCAACATCTTAATAGCAATATAAAAATTTGTTTTAGCATATGCAAAACATGTGCAAAGGCATAGCTCTCTGGCACATTTGGATTATTAATAATCTAAAGTGTAACAAGGTGTTAATTTCCAAAGAGCATAGAACAGAAATTTTCTGGACATCTGTGGTATAAAACATTAATGTTTAAAAAAAGGGGGCTCATTCTGTAGCCATGAATCATGGTAATGGTTCCTGATATCCGCAATGTTGGTATCACAAAGTCCTCACCATCACATCTGGCTAAAATACCTCATTTACTGTATACTATTCTATCTATGACATCTCAAAAATGAAACATTACCTTAGCTGCTGGATTAATGACTATTTAGTTTCTGTTTGTGTTAGCCTTTTGTCTACATGTATGTCTATGCTTGTGTACACTGTGACCTGAAGTGTCAGAAGAAACAGATGTGCTGTTACTGGAATCATCAGAGGTTTCTGAGCACAGTTGAGGAACCTATAACTGGGCTAAGTTAGAGTTCTTTGTTATATTGCTTTGTCAGGGTACCTTACCATAGAAAGAGGGGAGGGGGGGATCTAAATAAGCAGCTTTCTCTGTATTACTAGTAATGTAACTATTTAAAAAACTCTGGGAACTTTCTAAACATTAACAGTAATGACTCAAACTACACTTGAGACATTGATACAGTCTCACAGGGTACACTCTGGCAATTACACACTAAGCCATACTTATTTTCAATCCTTAAGATGATAGAAGTACTTAATGAATTGAATTCTCAGTTAGTCCTTTGAAATGCAAAAAAATTTGGCATATTTTCGAATTAGGTGAAAAAAACAATGATTTCAAATTAGAAAAGATTCAATTCCTACCTGCCACAGCGCCAAATGCCAAAGAGCCACTCATTTGTAAAGCTTGCTGTGCTGCTGGTGGTATCTGCAAACCAGTACCTGTGAAAAAATTTCTTCAAGTTCTTAGTATGTTAACACCAGAGAAACCAAACTTTGGGAAAACTACACTATGTAGTCAACTCACAAATGCGAGGAAAACAATTCCACACTAAGACCTTCCCAGTTCCAAAGGTGATAACCTGCAATCTTTGTTACCCTCATATTAGCACAATAAAACTTACTCCGCTCAAAGTGGTGCTCTGACCTCCAACCCATGTTATGGGATTAGTACACCCTCAAAATGAGTAATTACTTTTGTAAGCCAATGTAAGCAATCACAAGTCATTTCTTTTTTTTATTTATTTTTTTCTTTATTAATTACACTTTATTCATTTTGTATCCCTCCCGACAAGTCATTTCTTATTGAGTCTGATATTTTAAAAACATCAATAAAATAACTAGTATTTCAGCATACCATAAGGTCAATAAAATATACAATGTACTCCTATAAATAAAAATGAACTCCCAACTAACACAATCTCTTTTCTATTTGGTACTTTTCAAGCTAGCTTTCCTTTTCCCCACTCTATCCATGTTAAATCAGTAACTACTGAAAACTTACCCTCTGCAAGTCTCGCCATTAACTGCAGGCGACCAGTTGTTCCTAAGTCAATCCCCGTCCTTTCTAATTCATCGCTGTCCAAAAACGAGCTAGCACTAGAAGCATCGGTTCGTTCGGTAACATGACCAACTTTCATTGGCCTCCCAGCTAGTTCAAATCCATTAAGCTGCTCCAAAGCCTTTTTGGCACATTCTGAGTCAGAAAACTAAAAGTCAACAGGAATTTGATTAATTTGCATTCATATGACTACAGTGAAAAAGTACCTTCATAAATCTTATACCAATCAAGTATAAAAACTCTAATAAATAGTGTAAATGTAAAATTAAGACTATAAATTTTGCAAATGATGATAAAAGATAGCTTACCAAAAAATGAATTATCAAAACCCCTTTCATTAATTTTTAGGCCAGTTTCACTATGTTACATTTCCAAATTCACTATTTAGAGCAAGCTGTCCTTGGGAATCCAACTACTTCAGCATCCCAACTGCTGGGATTAAAAGTGTGACAACATGGCTGGAAACCTAGCTGAATTTATAAAGGAATCTATGTGCCCAGATTGGAAAAGGACAGTAACCTAAAAACTTAAGACACTTTTAACAGAACCCCCCACACTAAATGTAACAAATTTTTTTTTCAAAAATTTCAACTTCCAAGTTCCTTTTCACAGTCCTACATTATTATCACACCACCTCTTATGAACAACATTAATCAAGCTTCATTTTCTTTCCATATAAATGTTTCAGGGGTCTGGAGATATGGCTCAGTTAAGAGTACTTGCTACAGAAGGCTAGAGATGGCTCAGAGGTTAAGAGAACTGTCTGCTCTTCCAGAGGTTGAGTTCAATTCCCAGCAATGCCCCTCAACAGTTATCAACCCTAGGTCACCCTTGACTGTAAATCTTCACTATAATGTATGGTGGCTCACAACCATCTGAGATCTGATGCCCTCTTCTGTTGTGCAGGCGCACATGCAGGCAGAGCACTGTATTCGTAATAATAAAAATAATAATAATAAAGAGAGAGAAAAAAAGGAGTACTTGCTACTCTTTCAAAGGACCTGAGTTCAGTCCCTAGGATCCACCCTTAGTAATTCCAATCCAGATTATCTAATGCACTCTCCTACCTCCAGGGAACCTGTACATATGTGGCATACAACAATACACATACAAATAAACAAACAAACAAACAAATAAATTTAAAAGAAAAGAAAAAAGTGTCCAGGAATGATGGCACATCATCTTTAACTCCAGTAATTGGTGGGTAGAACTCTTTTCTGTCTGAGGTAAATAATTAAATCTTGTTGTAGGAGTGGGTATGGGAAGTCTTGACATCCTCTCCTCCAACTCCTGAGTGGTAAGATCAGAATATTGCTACAACTGTCTCATGATATAAAAAAACAAAACAAAACAAAACAAAAACCAACAACCCACTACTAATTAGAATTTATAACCCTAACTCTTGGTCACTTAACAGTTTTGAGATGCAGAAAGATACAACTCTACCCATGTATATGGGCCTGGATTAGCAACCCCAGTAAACTCAAGACCACCAGGAATTCAAAGTCATATAAAATACAAAAAGAGCTGAAGGAGCCAGGTCTAATGGGACACATCTTTAACCCCAGTTCTCAGTAGGATAAAAATCTATCAAGAGTTCAAGGCCAGCCTGGAATGTACAAGGAGTTCCAGGGCTACAGAGGCACAGACAAACCCTGTCCCAAAATAAATAAGCAAGCAAGCAAATAATTAAGTAGTTCATAGCCTGGACTGAGAATCTGTCTCAGAAGACAAAAAAACACAAGGAAAATGTTTTAACATGAGAAACAATATAATCTATAACAAATAAAAGCCACACACACAAACCCAATATTAATGTTACAGAGTACAAAGTTAAAATGCTCCCAATTACATTCTTTTTGTTAGTCTCTCATTTGATTTTATTTCCTCCCTTCAACCATGTGATATTCTAATTTTCTTTTAACCAGTGGGTCTGTAAACACAGGCTTATCCTTCCCATTTACATGTAAAGCAGATAGATGCCACTTCTTAAAATGATAGCACCATGGACCCTCACCAAACCCAAGTCACCCTTTAACTGTAAATCTTCACTATAATGTATAGCTATTTTACTGAATCCTAATCCAAACTTTTAACTTTTTTATGGCTTACATAATTTTTTCCATGTTTTTCACATACAAACATTTCCTGACCAAAATATAACATATTGTGAAATCTTATGTATGTATTCATAGTTGGTCTGATAGAGCACAGCGTTAATCCTGGCATTTGGGAAGCCGAGGCAGACAGATCTTTGTATTCTAACCCAGCCTGGTCTCCAAAGCAAGCTCTAAGCCAGACAAAGCAACACAGTGAATCCGTGGTGCCACAAATAAACATCTACTCCAGGTGCCTGATGCCACAAACAGATAGATGATTTTAGTTATTCCAGGGACTTTAAACAGTGTAATGTGTGGTACCATCCATAACTTATCTGAAATGTGAATTATATCCCCAAATTACTAAGAAACAGAGACAAAAACAAAGACAGGAGTAGTGAGAGCAGCAAGTGGCACATGACTAGTAAAGCTTATTGAGAAGCTGCATTTGGTGCCAAAAACAGAATGAAGTAGTTTATGATGGCAGATAGGTTTACAATAGTCAAGCTGGCACTTTATAAACACTCTAATGCTTTAACTACATAACTGGTTACAAGACCCCTATAATACCAAGGCAATCATGGATGTGGCTGTTAATTCTGCCAGGTATAGTAGCTTAAGCTTTAATTCTCGGACCAAATGCTAATATTGTAGGATCACATGACTTGAAAAGTTAGAATTCTCATAGATCTTCATTTGATAACAGTAAGAGTGTGCGTAAGGAGCCTGGTAAGGCAGTGTGTGCCTTTAGTCCTAGCACTGAGGAGGAAAATCAGGCCATCTGTTTGATACCAGCCCAATCTCCATGGAGAGTTACAATAGGCAGAGTTACACTGAGAGAAAATGTCAAAAATATTTGCATACTCCACTGGCAGTAGGATGTGATAGCGCTAGACTCTACGGGCCCCACCACTCACTAGCACATACCAAAACGGACACAGCACAGAGAATTAAAATACATTTTAAAGAAATATAGCTGTCTGTAAATCAAATCACCAATTCATTCCCAACAATCCTTAAGCAACACACAAAAACTGCTTGATGTAATAATAGATGACAATTACTTACTGTAATGAATCCATATCCCTTAGATCGACCTGTTTCACTATCCATCATGAGCTGAATACTCTCAATCTAAAATTTAAAGGCATTAAGTTAGACAAAATTACCCCTTGAGATAGTTTTAAAAAATTTAATGTGCTTTACCCTTATCGTCCGTCCCTAAAAAGAACAGAACACATTACAACTGTTCTTTACAAGCCAGGCATGGTAGCACAAATCAGGTAGCTAGCTCTCTTTGACTTAAAGGCTGGCCTGGTCTACAAAGAGTTCCAGGACATTCAGGGCAGCACAGAGAAACCCTGTCTCAAAAAACGCAACCCAAACAAACAAGAACCAATTCCCACAAATAAAATTTTTTGAATGCCAACACTTTTTTATTTTTGTTAGGATTTCCCACACTGGCAAAGAAATCCTGGCTGGCAAGTCAGAAAAAGAAAATGACTAAATTTACCCTTCCAAAAGGCTCAAAGATCCCCCGAAGCATATCTTCAGTTATGTTAAAGTGTAACGAGCCCACATAGAGCCGCATAGGTCCAGCACTTCCCTTTTGTAAATTGTTTGCCATTGCAGCAGCTCTGTTTTTTTCTGCCTATAAGAAAAAACAAAAAACCACATCCAACACTAATATAAACCAAAGTTCAAAACGCACAGAACAAAATAATTTACAGTAATCTTTAAAAATACACAAGTCATTAGAAAGCATTTGGTTTAGACAAAGTGAAATTGACTTATGCATAAAAAAGTTCTGTAAGGTGCCGTAAGATTTTATTAAAGTGCTCTTTATTATGTCTCCAACATTCTGCCTGCACACCAGATTACTATACAAGGTTGTGAGCCACCATGTGGTTGCTTGGAATTGAACTCAGGACCTTCGTATGAACAGCAAAGTGTTCCTAATCTCTGAGCCATCTCTACAGCCCCTGTAAGATTTTCAAAGGAAGAATGGTGCTGAGAGATGTACCACATACTGGATGTCATTAAGGGCATTAAATTGCAATATTAAAGTTGAGATGTGCAGGTTATACAAACACTCTACCATTGAGCTATAGATCCTCTGACCCTACGTTTTGCACTAAAAAGGTGATGTGTCAAAGGTCGTATTTTACCATTTTAATAAGGTTTAAAGTACATGGTAGTTACATAAAAAAATACATACTTTATTTCATACCTCAGTGAAATAAACAATAAAGCTAAAATAAACCATAGTAACTTGCCTTGTGCTATCGAGATAAATACAAAGGCTGTTTCCTGAGTATTTGTAAACATATTTAGTACTCATTAAAAGACATACCCAAATATAATTTGATACTTACAAGCCATTAACTTAATAAAAAAGGGTGTAAGAAAATCACATACCTAAAACATTTACCCAAGTAAATCATTGCTATTCTGCCTACATAAAAGCCATCTTTTTTTTTTTTTTTAATTTGTGAAGTGTTTTGCCTCTCTTGTGAGAAGAGGCCCAAAAGTAGCAGTCTCCTAAAAGCAGACTTAAGTGCCGAGGCATCTCCAAATCCTAGTAACAAGACCTTACTTTGCTAAATTCTCAACCTACACTCTGCTAACTGCTATGCACACATTGGTACAAAACCACTGACTAGTACTACTCTACAAGCCTTATGAATCACACTGATTTACCTTTTCTCATTGATTAGTTCTCTGAACCAATTTTATAATTAGGTCTGCTAGATAATGAATATATAGTCCTGGCTGCCTCACACTGACGGCAATCTGCCTGCCTAATCCTATGTGCTGATACTGCCATATGTGCTGCAGTATCTGGCTCAATAACTATATTAAGAAGTTACCTGTGATGCCTGTACTATAATTGGCACTCCTAAAACTCGTTGGCCAGTTAATCCGATTGCTAGAGGCACAGAACTAACATCAACAAATTCCACATAAGCAATTCCTTTGGAACGTCTTGAATTTCTATCAGAAATCATCCTCACATCTCGAACCTAAAATTAAAAAAAATAATAATAGTTACTATTCTGTAGTGAAATAGTCCAGAACAAACTACACATATAATTATTTCAACACATAAGAAACTTTATCAGAAGTCAGTCGCAATACATGTTTCTGTGGCTTAAACTTCACTGTGTAAGCTTGGCTGGCCTTACAATCACATAAATCTGTATACCTCTGCCTCGACTGTATAGAGTCAATGTCAGTCAGAATCAGGGTGATGGCACATGTCTTTAATAGAGCACTAATAAGGCAGAAGAAGGTGGATTTTAGCGTAAGGCCAGGATGTACTACACAGTGAGACTCAAAATCATTAATACTCAGGCATGGTGGCACATGCCTTCAGTGACAGCACTCAGGAGGCAAAGGACAGCCTGGTCTACAGAGCAAGTTCAAGGAGAGCCAGAGCTACACAGAGATACTCTGTCTTAAAAAAAGAAAGAGATGGACAAAACATCAAAACCAATCACAAAAATCCCACAAAAATTTCAGCATTTAGCCCAAACCTATGTTCAAGTAGGATTACATCATCCACCCAAAACTTGCTCCTAAAATAACAGATAATTTATTGGGCTGTCTTTGAGGAAAAGTATTACAGTGTGTAAGTTATAGGACAACTTTAGTCAGTCTATTCTCTATTTCACCATGGACTAGAGAGACGAAACTCAAAATTATCAGCCTTCCGTTTAAAGCAGCCTAAGACAACCATGTTTAGTTTTTGTTTTTCTGAAAAGCAGCACTCCTGCCTTACTTAAATCAGGAGTATGTGGGTGGTTTTCGTTTTCGAAGACAGGGTTTCTCTGTGTAGCTGTGGCTGTACTGGAACTCAGTCTGTAAACCGGGCTGGGCTCAGAAACCCGCCTACCTCTGCCTCCCTGAGTGGTTCAGGGATTAAAGTGTGCACCACCATACCCGGCTCCAATTATTTTCTTATGATACAAAAGGAACATGATGTGTCCAAAAATGGCCTGTAGTATCACAGTGTGTAAACAGTACCACTGGTTTGCAAAACCACAAGGCCAGAATGAAGACCCAATCAGTCTCATAATTATGAAAAGTCTTCCAAATTAAGTTATCTTCCTATCATTGTTTCCTCTTTATTTTTTACCTTTTTTGTAGGTTTTGTTGTTTTTTCAAGACAGGTTTCTCTGTGTATTCCTGAATGTCCTAGATGCTCATCTGTAGACCAGGTTAGCATCAAATTCTGCCTGCCTTTATCTCCCAAGTGCTGAGCCACCACTGCCTGCCTGGTCCCCTTTTATGAAGTGTGCAAAACTTCCTATTGCGATTATCCTTGGTTCCATATGAAGTTATTGCTAATGAGACAAGCAGGAAATATGGAAACTAGGACTAGGAGGAATGCAGCTGGAACTGACCCGGAAACCTCTTCCCTGAGGACTAGCTCTCAGTGTACTGGAAGGTGTTTAAACAAGCTGCCAAGGGAGAAAAGCAATCAATAGTCCTACCCTGCAGTGTTACCTACAAAACACAATGCTTATCAACATGAAGACTGCCCAAAAAGTGTAATGGGGCACTTTTGTACTAAGGATTAACCAACAAACAGCTCTCTAGTTGAACTCATACCTGACTGAAGAACAGAGAATTAATAATCCCTAACTGTACTGTAACTTACTAAATCTCCATGTCTGTTGAGACCATGGACCACAGAAGAGAACATTGCCACTTTCCTAAACCATTCTAACTTCAAACCACATTTTAATTATCTTTATACCCACCAGCAGGGGTAACTACCCTCCTCATCGCACATCAAAGCAGCTTTCTGCAGCACATAAGACCATTTCAGAAAGCAACCCATGATCAAAGTGAGAACTGCATAATTAGGTGAACACACCGAACTGGCTGCTACATCTGCAACATACGCCTACCCAAGGCGGGGACCATAATGAAAAGGTCTCATGAGAAACTGTAGGAGCTGGATGACCTCCTGAGACTATCTTCTGTGTATCACTCAGGAAACATCAACAGCAAAGCAAAGTAAACAGAGAGCACAATCTGTCTTCTCCTGATGAGGACCAGCTAGTTTTCTGAAACTAGAATACACACAGCGACCACTAAATGGACACACACACACACGCAAACATACACATTTAATAATATAATTAAAGCGAAAACGAAGTAAGGATAATACAATGTTCTATTTATTACAATAAATACACTCACTTTTTTGAGGACATTTTGTTGTTGTTTTTTTTCCCCCAAAAGAAAGGTTTTCTGTGCATTTCTGGCTGTCCCGGAACCTTCTTTCTAGACCAGGCTTTGCCTCAAACTCAGATCCACCTGGCTGTGGCCTGAGATTAAAGTCATCTGTTAAGACCTGCCTGACTACACAGCTCCTGTGTAGCTGTGGATATCCTTGAATTCAGAGATGGACCTTGTGTTGAAATTTAAGGTGCTGTGTCTCCATGACCAAATACAATGCCAATAACTAAAATCACCTCTACCAGCTTGTAGTCTTTAAATGTGAGGAGTTACCTTTCCTACTGTAGAGAAAAACTCTTCCAAATCCCTTGGTCGAATTCGTGCTGCCAGCTGCATGCAGAAAACTGTCCTTGCATCCCTTTCCTCTGGAGTTAGATTATCAATAGGTTCCCTAAAAGGAGAAAAAGCACAGAATTAACTTTGCAACTTTTTTAAAATGTGGGTACAGGGTCTAATGTAGCATACATACTTGGCCACAACCCCCACCCCATTTTTGTTTTTTCAGGGACAAGGTTACTCTGTGTAGCTCTGGCTTTCCTGTAACTCACTCTGTACACCAGGCTGACATCAAATTCACAGCATCCCAGCTTCCTATTCCATCCCAAGGACTGGGATTAAGGTATCTGCCAACCAAGTCTGGCACAAACTCATAAAACAAGGATGTTCATGAACATTTTTTAAATATTCTTACACTAACTGGCACATCTATGGTATGTTCGCATGTATATATATACTAGTGTACTAATTTCATGCAGGAGCCAATAAAGACCAGATCCTTAAAACCTGAGTTACAAATAACTCTGAGCTACCATGTAGGTGCTAGGAATTGAACCCAGGGATTGTACAATTAATGAGGATGCAGAACAACAAATTTTTATACCTTGAGGCAATAAATTTACATATTTTCAAAATTTGTGCACTGCTTGGGATTGAAGCCAACATCTGACACGTTAAGCAAATGATTTACACTGAGCTTTGTCTCCAGCCCTAAAATAATTTTTAAAATACACTTGAGCAAAACTATAAACAGAGAGATAAAATCAGTTTTTAAGGAAAAACATAAATTTAATTTTAAAAATTATTTTCATGTAGTTGTCACTTTTTTCAAGTAGAGTTTTGCATAGATTTTATATCTATTATCAAATGACCACAAAAAAAAATTAAAGCCTGTCTCCCGACAGCATAAAATTTTTCTGATAGTCATACTAAATCAGTTTCAATAGCATAAAATTACTGTCCCTTAAACACTAAAGTTGCATTATCTCCATATTAAACAGCCAATAAGCTGAATGACTAAAAAAATGCCAAAAACCCAAACAAAATCTGTGTAATGAATATGTCACAAATAATCAAAAAAACAAATTTAAAACTGTCAATTATCAATATCAGAATGAAACCCACAAAAAATAATTATGTTCCTATGGTATATAAAATGAAAGAAGCAAAAATTTGCTTTATCTGTTTACTCTACTCCAGCAGTCTTCTAAGTACAAGAATTACAACTGTATTGGCATTTTTTAAATGACTAAAACTAATACACAGAGCTATACAAGACTCGATGTTCTATCTCCTCCTAGGAGCTGACACATACCAGTACGAGATGACAAGAAAAAGCACAAGAATTACACTACCAATGTGGAACTGCTCCACTGAAATACATCTGGCATGTCAACAAAAATAAAAAAACCGCAAATAGCCCTTGTGTGGCAACTTTAATCCTAGCACTTGGGAGGCAGTAGCAAGTGGATCTCTGTGAGTCTGGGGAAAATCTGGTCCACAAAGACTCCAGGACACCTGGGATTCTATTATACAGAGAAACCCTGTCTGTAAAACCAAAACAAAACAAAGAAACAAACAACGACAACAACAGAACACCCAACAAAAATAAAAAGATAGCTAAACACTGCTTTCGCACGCCTTTAATCACAGCTCTGGGGACGGAAAAGAAGGCAGCCAACAGCCCAAGCCACCATACAGAGAAACCCTGTCTTAAAAAACAAAAATATCCCAGCACTAGGGAGGCAAGGGTAGGTAGATCTCTAATTTTGAGGCCACACTGGTTTATAAAGTGAGATCTCTCTGCTACACCAAAAAACCTTGTCTGGAAAAAATAAAATATAATAAACTTTTAAATATTAAGTGAGATCGACTTCAACAGAAAATAAAATTAATTAAAAAAAACATCACACATAAACAGATGTGACTGCCAACACTCAAAAGAGTTAAAACAAACTTTAAACAAATTAAAAACAAATTTTAGGCTTAACTTTTTTTCTTTTGTTTTTGACAGTTTCTGTTTAGCTCAGGTTTTCCTGGAATTTGTAGAACAGGATGGCCTTGAACTCAAACGATACTCTTGCCGATTCCTATATAAGGGTAGTATTAAAGGTGTATGGCAACACTGCGTGAAACTATTATTTTACTGTTTTCTTTTGAAGACAGGATATCACCATACAGCCCTTGCAGATCTGTTGGTTAGTAGCTATCACCAGCCTGGTGGTGAACCTTGTAAGTACTAGGACTAAAGGTTTAAGTTACTGTGCTCCAGAAAATATTATCATTACACTTTATAACTCTTATTAATATTAGCCTAAACAGCTAGAAAGATGGGCTAGCAATTATGGACATGTATTGCTCTTCTAGCGAACCCAATTTCAGGTCATAGCGCCATGTTGTGTGGCTCATACCAGCTACAACTCTAGTTCCAAGGCGTTGGTTTTCATACATCTTGCCTCTTTAATACACTGGAACTCACATGAGTACATAATCTAAAAATAGTAAAATCGAGGGCTAGAGAGATGGCTCTCTGCTCTAACCAAGGACCCGGGTTCAACTCCCAGCACCCACATGGCAGCTCACAACTGTGTAACTCTAGTCCCAAGTGGTTTGACACCCTTACACCACTGCTCATAAAAATAAAAATTAAGTAAATTTTTTTTTAACAGTAAAATCTGTGCTGGGCCTTGTAGCACACACCTTTCATCCCAGCATTCAGAAGGCAGAGGTAGGCGATCTCTTTTGAGATCTAAGACAGCCAAAGCCTTGAGTATGATTGCACACACCTTCATTCCAGCACTAGAATGGCACAGGCAAGTGAAGTTGAAGGTCTGGTGTACATAAAATGTTCCAAGTGTGCTACAGCTACAAAGGGATAGTCTGCCTTAAAAAACAAATTAATCAATGAAAATAAATTTAAAATATTCCCCTTGAGGTGAGCCAAGTTGGTGATGTATGCTACCATATGACAAAATGTGCTTTGAAGAAAAATGATAAATTATACAGTCTTGAAACTTACTAAGGAACTCAAGAAATCTTCAGGAACAGAAATAAACATTCAATTCATTAAGACTAATAAGTTAAAATGCACTTTCTCGTGCAACAATGCCAAACAGTAAAACTTGTGATTGTTGTGTAAGTTTACCACGAGATTTAAATGTTATTACCTACTAATTCCATAGAAAATGATGCCTAAAGCGATGCTAATGATGCTACCAAAAATCTGCTCATGTAACACAAAAGATGTATCTGTATTTTCAGATTATATTAAGAAAAGAACTATTGAAAGTTCATAATCCTTGTTTTAAATACTCAACAGGAAGTGAAATGTGATCATTATCATTAGATAAATTGAGGAAGTAGGTTTTTGTTTGCAGAACTTCATAGAACAAATTTAAAGGGGGAAGGGGAGAAAAAAAAGACCAACAGCTACCTCACAGGGCTCTTGTCTTTCCTGAATGGACTTTTGCTTCGGGAACGTCTTCTGCTGCAAGGTTAAAGTTTCACAAGTTACCCAAACAGGCTCTATCACATTAGTTCCTCAAAATACAATTTAAACAATTCAGAAGTATGTTTAAAAACCTTAATTTGATGCTATGAGGCAACCCAATCTTTCCTCGGATGGCACTGTTAAATTTTGGTCCGGAGCTAAAAAGAAAACACAAAATTACACTAGTTACAGGGTTAGGGTCTTGCTAAGATCAAGATCATGGGCTCTCCAGCAAGTCTAACATTGTTTAGGCTGCTTCTTTCTACCTCAATTATAAATAGAAAACAAAATTAACTTAGAAAAATCCTGTAGCCCTTGTATTTTTCTATCCTGGACCAGGTTAGAGGTGCCAAGAACAAAATTACAGCCTCAAACTTTTTCAATTCTAAAAAATCCATCACATCTTTTCATTTAGCATTTCAATCATAATTATGAACATATGAACAAGTCTTTAAAAACACAAAGGGTAAAAACAAAGGCCTCTGCACTCTCATCCCAGCATCAGCTTACTATAAAGTACTTTCGTGACAGAAAAAATGTACTTACATAAATACTTGCTGTATTTTGTTTGTTTTAAATGTATTTATTTATTATTTATACAGAGTTCTGCTTACATGTACACCTGCATGACTCAAGAGGACACCAGATCTCATTACAGATGGTTGTGAGCCACCATGTGGTTGCTGGGAGTTGAACTCGGGACCTTTGGAAGAGCAGTCAATCCTCTTAACCTCTGAGCCATCTCTCCAGCCCCATATTTGCTGTTCTTTTTGACACAGTAACTTATGATAAGTCTCAGTGAACTCATTATGTAGCAAAGAATGACTCCTGTTCCTGCTCCCTCCAACTCAGGTGTGACAGAATTTCAGTGTTGAATTACAAGCCTGCAGCCACCTTAGTCATCTTTTTTTAGCCATCTTTTCTTCTCCTAACCCCTTACAGAGAATAGCCCTACCCTTTCTGGAACTCAGGCTGGCCTCAGATATTTCAGTGGACTCCCAAGTACTGCAATTAAAGGCATGTAGCACCACACCCACTGGACTCTTTTTCTTTTTAACACAGGTCCTCACAATGTAGTCTTAGCTAGCATGGAACTCAAGAAAGTCCCGTCTTTGTAGTGCTAGAATTAAATGTGTGCCATTATATCCAACTCCCACATAGTAAGCACATTTAATGTACTATGTACTGTTTGTTATGGAACAGAATATATAAAAGATGTAAAACTAATTCACTCAGCAAAATAAGGGGAATTTTATGATTCAAAAACAATTTTCACTACTGGAATAGACCTGTTCCCCATTGCCCAATACTAATATTGCAATAATAATAAAAGAGGGTTTGTATAACTCCCTCATAAGACAAATAATTTTTGTACCTCTTAAAAGGTAAAACTGACTTACAAGATTCATAAGATATGTCCCTTAGTGTTCAATCATACTCAATTAAGGATATCATAGACCCTTAATTAGGCTCAGTAAAATGAAGAAATGAAAGGTGTTGTTCTCCACATTTGGAGTAAGTATTTTAAAAATACTATATCAACTTATAACCAAGGAGTTAAGTAAAATTCTTCTGTCCTTTCTAATTCAATTTTAAAACACCTTTTGTTGTTGTTACTGAGATAGGGTACATATGCCTGACTTGGCATACAATTCACTTTGCAGATCAAATGAGCTGCAACTTAGCAGTGATCCTCCTCTGCCTCAATAACCCCTAATAGTAACAGAATTACTAGACAGATTGATACTCATGTAAATATATGTAATTTAACAACCTACTTTCTTTCTCCTCTGTTAAGAATACTAAACAGTATTTGAGAGAGGGTATAACTTCATAACCCTGGAAACACACCAACAAAAACCAAGTTGGCCCTGCATTCACAAATATTTGCCTCTACTGGTCCTCATTAGGTTTCTCCCTTAGTTATAAAACAGCCCAGTTATAACCTCCACAAAGTTTAATTGAAACCCAACACAAGAATTTTTTAAACATACTAGGAGAGGCAGACAAAAACAATAAATCCATTCTCAACAAATAGTATTCTTATTTTCATAGATGTCCCTTATTTAGTTCATCCTTGTGAGACAATTAACAATCTTAAAGAATGTACATCTTGAGAAAATGAACAAAAAAAGTTTATAATATATAATTCAGAATTAAGTAAAAGCATTGTGGCTCCATTATCACCATGCAAAGTCTGTAATATAAGCACCAGAAGGAACCTAGAAACACGAGGGCATCCACACTCAAGGAAAACAAACTATATTCATAAATAAAAAAATCCCAAATCCAAACTCAAATACCTTCAGTTAATACCAGTACCTCACAAACGGTACTGAGTATTTTATTGACAGTCACTATTCAATATTCAGTTTATATGCAAGTTTATTCCTTAATAAATGCTTAGACGTAGATAAAGATGACTATAAACATCAAGTCTTAACCATTTAAATTTTAAAAAGTAAATGAACCACTACGTATATAGCACCCCAAGTTCAGTTCCCAGCATCCACACATATGAAGGGCACAAAAGCCTCCTGTAACTCCAACTGGGTGGGGGAAGGGCCCATGCTTTTGGCTTACACTAAAACCTGCACCCACTGCAACTGGTACCACCTAAGCATAACTACGCTTAAATGTGGTTTACAAAGGTACACTTAGTGAAGAATTAAGGGCTTTGTTAATAAGCATCAAGGAAAGATTGTGCTTGTTTCATTTCTTTTCAAAGCTGTTAATACAGGCTATTAAAATAAAAAAAAATTTTTTTTTAATCTTTCAAGACAGGGTTTCTGTGTAAGCCTTAGCTGTCCTTAAACTCTAGAGAAGCAACTGCCACTGCCTCTGCCTCCTGAGTGCTAGGACTAAAGGTGTGAGCCACCATAATCCCAGACAGGTGAATTTTTTTGAACAACTACAATAAACTAATTCTAAGCATGCCTAAATAATACATGGAAATTCTTATGACTTAATCTACAAAGCACTGTTATTTTACTTTAAAACCTTAAATACAAGAGTAATGTGCATAACAACTGAGCACACAACTTGATAAAGATTTCAGCGAGCCAGGGACAAGACTTTATTAACTGATTTATCTACCTGTACTTACACTTCATACACATTAGGCTTTCTCTATTATAAACTCAAGTGCTTTGTTTTAATTTAAACTAGAATGCAATTTCTAGCTGGTCAGAGAAAAACCTGCTAAGTTTCATATATCCTAAAGTTAATTTATCAGTCCACACACTCTATTTTTACCTTACTATCTTCGATGTCAATATCCTTCATTTTAAATCTGTTATTGAAAAACAAAATCTCAATTCATTTTCCTGCAGATAAACTGGTATCTAAACATGTGTAACTAAAGTCCTGATGACAGTTACATACTAGGGACTTCTGTAGCGGCCTCGGAATCTTCTATCTCGACTCCGTGAGCGGCTTCGTCTCCTCTCTTTGCTTCTACTCCGTTTCCGTTCCCGGCTTTTGCTCTTTTTTCTTTCTCTATCTCTACTTCGTTTCCGTTCCTTACTTTTGCTTCTCTTTCGCTCATGACTACGACTTCTGCTCTTGCTTTTTTTTCTCCTGAGGAAGGAAAAAAATGTACCATTACCATGCTGGATTAAATACCAACCAATATATACTTCCTTTTATGGTCAAATATTTATCCTTTTGTAAATGTATTTTTACCACTGTACAATGGTACAAAATTATACTTTAGGAAAAACAATTCTTAGGTATGGGACTTAACATCCAATCTTTTGCTTCACGTTAACTGAAGATAGTCAAAAGACTTGACAGACAGGATTAAGAGGAAAAATTTGCAATGATCTTCAGCTACAGCTTGAAACAGGACTTGCCGGTAAGTAGAAAACCAAGCATGAACTTAAAAAAAAAAAAGTAACTGGCATTCACATAACAGACCAATTAGCATTACTATAATCTACAAGCTAGAGCAATGAAAGTTCCATTATGTTCACATTCAAAAAAAATAGTTGTCACATAAAAATTTTCCATTAACAATTTAGTTCAAATTAATTTTCATACACTGTATATCACATGTAAGAATATTCTGTTCTTTCAAAACACCATATACATAGCATGTGGTTTTCTTAGGCAAAATTACAAGAAATAATAAAGGATACTAAGAATGCAATAAAATTCACTTTGACAACCTGAGATTTTACTGTGACCATTTATAAGCATTCAACTTAAAACTGTAATGAAATTGAAAATGCCCTTTGAAAGCTAGTTTATACAAGCTTGTGGGACGTAACTAATACAACCTGACCTTCCTTTCATAGTAAAAAAAGCCAGTTATCTTTCCATTCATTTCTGTGTTCCTCACGGTTTTTCACCCACTGGTTTAATGATTAAACCTTGAAATCTGTACCTGTCATCACCCAAATTAGAGGTGCCTTCAGATATTTCAACATAAAGTGGAAGACATTTCAAAATAAATTTATTCCACCAAAATGTGGAATAAGTGGTTTGAAGTCTGAACATTTTGACAACTCTACATCATTAGGAAAATTAATGAGCTATTTAATCTCTATCAAAGCAAAGTTAGCACAACAACTGAGATGTGCCTCAGAGAACCTGTAAACAGGTCATCTTAGAGTGCATTGAAAATAGAAAATGAAGACACCCACCTTCTGGAATCTTGAAACCCACACTCCAATCACAAGGAGATGTAGAGCTTTCCAAGGAGGCAGAAACTTTGTCTAAAATTTCAAGATAATCCACCTGACTGTCAGAAATATGCTAGGTAGCACATGACAGAAAATTAGGCTACACTCATATAGAAGTCAAAGCAACTCCAATGCTCAGGAAGGACAACAATTAACATTCCAACCTTGATGTTTCAAACCCTGACACTATTTCTTAGGGCTAAAGAAGTCTGAGATTGGGGGGGAAAAAGAATTGAGATGCTAAAACCCTAACTCCTAGCTATATTAATTCAAATTAGGGGACAAGATAAAAATTAATTGTTCCCCAGGAAAAAAAAAAAAAAAGACAATTATGTTCCTGCTCTTCTCAAAGATGGCCCATAGCAGAACTAATCCTATATACCTCTCACAGGTACTGATCTTATTCTGCCAAATTAGTTTAAAAATAAACAAACAAAAACTGGATTAATTTTATCTTAATTTCTTGCTAGACTTTTCATAAGCAAATCCCCACCCACATCTGAAGGCAACCCAAGATAGGTAAATAGACAACATACTAAAATATCTGAAAATACAATCGTCCAGTCTAAAGATTGTTGTAGAAACCACGATAATTTTCTAGAACAAATTCCAGTGTTAGAGAACATTTTTCAACTAGAGAAATGGTTATAAATTCCATCCTAATAGTCAAATCCTGTTACAACTTAAATGGGACTTTCCCAAGTCTTTAGTGGCAGTGGAATTTTGTACTGAACATCATTGAAGTAATGGTCCACTGGGCCTTTGGACTTTTTGGTTATATGGCCTCTGCTGTAAAGGTGTTTTGCTATAACTGGATTTGACCTCTTCCATGTAAGAAGATCTAAATTTTAAATGCAAAGTATTCTGGAAAATAAGAAAAAAAAAATAGAAAAGTCATTTATTCCAAGATTTGATAATCCAAACCACAGTAGCCAATATATTTTAACTGTATCCTTTTCTAAATGACTCTTTAAAGACTAACAAAATGAAGTTGGATTTGAGACTGCAAATCTGGTTACAGTAACAAATACTTCCATGAGGGTACTTAAGAGCTTATTGGAGGCTTTGACAAACTCAGAGTTGTAACTCTTCAGAAAACAGGCTAATAGGTTGATTCCTTTACTACTGGGATATAATACACTGTGTTGCAAACCAGTTCGTTTTTTAAACAAAAGCATTTATATGCTTAGCTAACTTTGTCAGAGTGCAGTTTCTTATTCTTATTACCTTACCAGCAATAATTATTTCCAACATTCAATGACTTTAAATTCAAATTTTAGCATGAACCACACAAAATAAATGACATCTACCTCAGATTAGCAAATTAGCTTAAAACAAGAGCAACTATTTGTTTTGTGTTTCATCTACCTGAGTTTTATGCTGTACTATGTTCAGTTACTTTTAATATTAGGCAATCACCTAATATAAATCAGCTGTAACTAAGAAATATTCTGAAAGTCTTCCCATAAAACACTGTATGTTAAAATTACCCAACCGACTATAGGAGATAGTAGCTTTATTTAACACAGACTATCTCTCATGGAGCACGTAATGCTCAAATTCCTCATAAGAGCTTGATGATCTTAAGTTTAAATACAGAGTTAAGAGTACAATCTGAAGATGATAGTGGGAAGTGGCATTAGAGAATAGTACATTTGCATTCAAGCTTATCCTCTTTTCCTACTCAAGATACAAAAATCTTTTTACTAAGTTACTAGTAACAGCAACATTTTACTAAGTCACTGTGACATCTAAAGTAATTTTTGTAAACTGTAGATACCTGTAGGCTTTCAGTACAAAATTATGAAACTGAAATTATAGGAAACTGTTACTTTGACAAAGGTTAAAAATGCATGCTACGAACCTGGTCAAAGGATTTCCTGTACCCACTTTTGACTACTAAAAAACTATTAGTGATTCCCACCTAAACTTGTGTAAAAAAATTTTCCTGCAAATTAAATGTTTCTTCCCTCTTACCATTATTTTTTTATTTTATACAGTCTCACTACAAAATATAGAACTGAATTCATGATCATCATGCCTCAACCTTTTGTTTTGTTTGATACAGGGTTTCCTTTGCTATCCTGAAATTCACTCTGTAGACCGGGCTGACCTGGCATTTACAGAGATCCACCTCCCTCTGCCTCCCAAGTGCTGGGATTAAAGGCATAAGCCACCATCACTGAACTTCTCTCACAGCTTATAAGTGAGAGAATTATAAACCTGAACAGCCAACCCACATTTAAAATTAGTTCATTACTACCACCTTAACATAAAACCTTGGCATATAAAACCTAAGTAACCTACATCAAACAACTTTTTCATCTATTTCATGATTATATCAAGCTACCTAACTAACAAAGGTGTTATGAGGATGACTGAACTAGTTATTATGAGGTATTCTGAGCTCTCAGGAGGAAAAGGGCCAAAAAGAGTCAAATAAGTGGCTATTTGTCAGTTTACATTCTGTATTATGGGGTCATGATATGACAAAATATTTTTAACGCACATTACATGTGAAGAATCACTAATCTGGGAGCTGAATGGTAATTTCACAATACCAGATAGGCTCCAACCCGGTACACTGGATCCTGTTTAAAGTGTTACTATACCTTTTTGTACACTATTTTGTACTATGTCTGTAGCATGAAGTTCTAATTTCAGGGTTATTCATCTAACTCAAATATATTACATATTCTTAATGGTCTCCTCCTTAGATACACTACAGCTAAAAAGGCCCAAGAAAATAAAGAAAAAAAAATCTCACTAAAAATTACTAAGTATGCTCTTTCATTACTACCAAAAGGGCCTTTAAGCAGCAACAAGGAACAGAAATAACTCATAGCTGATTCCTCTAGTGAATGAAGGTAAACAGTACTTTCCATGGCATTGGTATCATTTTTTTCCTAATGTATTGTCTTTTAACTAATAGTCTCATCACATCTCCAAAAATTAAGCCGAAGTTTCCAAATTTAAAACATTATAGAACTCAAGAGAATCATGGAAGATTTGGAGGGTAGCATCCAGAAGGTCTCTGAAACCATATCCTTAAGTCTACACCAGAAAGGCCACAGCTTTATATCCTGAAGGACTTTCTCATCCCAAAGAGTTGTAACAAGTTTAAGAAGTGAAGAAACCACAGTTTGATGCTCTCAGCACAAGAACAGATTTCTACAAGAAGTTTAGCACCCACCCTCCCAGGTTCCTTGCTCAGACTTACTTTTTGCTACGTTCTTCATGGCCGTTAGCACTGCTCAACTTGTTCTCATCCTAAGCAAGGTTGATAGAAGAACATCATGAGGACGAAGTGGTAATATTTCAAGTTGTCAAAGGGTAAAGGGAATAGGAATAAGAAAATACAAGACAATTTTAAAACTAATTACTTATTTAGTTTTACATGGAAGGCTATAAAAAAATTTAGATGGTATACGTTTAACCACTTTGTTGCTAATAATTAAGTCATGAAGAAACAAAAATTAAAATATTTCCACATTAACATGTTATATTTTACTTTCTTACATTGTTTAGATATTAAAGAAGTTATCCGGAATTACAATGTTGAAGTGGTTAAATATTTCTATGAAACATGAAGTCATTGAGTTTTATTCCATGTGCTATTGTCCCTTTTGTCGGTACCATGGCTCTATTTCTGCCTAAGCCCCAAGTGGCCATGCTAGCAGCCAGCCACTATCCATTTCCTGTGACCGATGCCATTCCTGAGATCTTCGCCCATTTCCGTTGGAGGGTTGGGACTGTAAGAGCTTGATGCCACCTCTGTCACACATCTCGCCCTGAAGCAAACAGGGATTCACACTGCTTTAGTAATGTTGACTCCCAAGAACCCAAGAAAAGTTAATTAATAATCCACCAGTCCAGCCTAAACATTTCCTACTTCCATACCTGTTTACATGGAATTACATCCACGTTAAACTTAGACAAGAAACATTAAAACAGAAAGTATGTCTTCAAGAGTCTAGTATTACAAAATTACACTATTTAAAGCTATCAGAATTCATCCAAAAGGCACCACATGGTCGTGCTACACTCCAAGACAAATGTATTATTTTTAAAGGGTTTAAGCGCAATGTTTATTTCAAAGTTTGAGTACATCAGCTACAGTAGTATATCTGCTAAATTACAAGGCCTAAGGTTTGTGACACCAGTGATAATGCATGCATACTGCTATTTTCACCGCCAACTGGTGAAAGAATGAAGAGTGTTTACTGTGACACTGAAATGGGTCAGATTGTATTACTAGCCAAAATAATTCCTTTGTAGTTTTTAGTGTGAAATACTATGGCAGGGCCTAATTAAATACAAAATACGATGGAGAACAGTAAAACAGTCTTCAAGTGACTCTAAGCTGTGATACTGCCTCTTGCCTTTTTTTGTTTTGTTTTGATTTGCTAGTTTCTATTCAGGGATCCAAGAATTTTAGTAATTATTAACTGAAAAGCAGATCAACACCTGCCTGTTTTAAGGTTTACTATCACCAGTCTTATCTATTTATATAAAAATAAAATTTAAATCTCACCCATTCCTTTAAAAACTTGTAAGATTTACTTGCCAGAGACTGGTTATGATTTATTATTCTTGGACCCCTGCTATTTTCCCAAACCACTACATTCACCTTTTTGCTATACCAAACTGGAGCTGGTAATTCTTAGTTGAGTCATTTTACCTAGGGGACCACGGTACAGCGATAAGTCACTCAATTACTACCTTATGATTGACAGTTCACACTGGAATCAAAGGTGAATTCATGGGAGTAGAGGTGAGATATCGTTAGGCAAGTCTACAAAGAGAGATAGATGGGCATTTATTCATCACGCTGAAGTGAAACTACTGCACAATATTATTACATCAATAGCATATATTTACTTTTCTAAGTTACACGTAATGCATCTCTGATAAGATAATCAAGAGGGCTCCGGGAAGGTTAGTTTACAATTCAGCAGTAGTTTCGTGAATAATGCTAAATTAAGAAGTATATTAAAGCTCACTGGTATGTTTTTCTCACCTTCTTGTAAGGGGCCTCAAGCATTGCTTCAATATCAATATCGTCTGCCATTTTCTCTACACGCCTACGGAAGAAGACAGTGCTGTAAGTAAACAACTTCCACTTCTAGTAAAAATAACAATAATAATAATAATTTCCTTCCCCTACAAAACTTAAACGTTGAGAAAAGTCCTCAGAAAGCCCTACAATGACTGTAACTGCGCGATGCACTTCACACAGGCTTCACCAAATCTGAAAAAGCTTCTTGCGTCAAACACACGAGCAGAAAAAAAAAAAAAAAAAAAAAAAAAAAAAAAATCCAACGTCGGATCGCGAAAAGCCGCCGCGGAACCGCTAACAACGAGGCTGAGGCTCCGAGGCAGGGCGCTTCCTTCCGCACAAAACCCGCGCTGCCATCTTGGCGGCAGAGGGGAACTCCCTCTGCTGGGAAGGCTTGTGTACCAAGGCGGCCGTCGGCAGGCGCCATGTTGGGAGGTCGCGACCAGCCCGGCCTCGGAAGGGCAGACCCGCCCGCGGCCCCCGCGGATTGCCGTGCGGCCGCCGGCGCCTCCCCGCTCGGTGCCCTTGGCGCAAACGAAGGGCACGGCCACGAGAGGAGGCCGCCCTCGCCGCGAGGCCCCCTCCCCCGCCGCGGGCCGACAAAAGCCCCTCAGAGCCCCGGCACCTCGCCCACCCGGGCTCGCAAGAGCCGCCCACAAGCAGTCCGCCACGGCCCGTACCTGTGCCGGCTTTCGCGCGCCTGTGCTCGACTCGGGAGTTCGGCTGCCGCCGCCGCCGCCGCTGCTGTGGCTACTGTTAAACCCCTAGGCCCAGGCCGCGGTACTGCCCAACCCGAATATCGGGCCCCGAGGGCGTCTAGGCCCAAGCGAATCTAAAAGACACAATGGGATTAAAGGAGCCCGCGCCGGAGAGCAGGGCAGCGGCTTCGGCAGCTCAGGATCCACCCCTGCGACAGCGTCGGCTAGCTCCCTGAAATGGCGGCCGCTGCTCCTCCGTACTCACATTCACCAACACACATACACACACAAACACTCGGGGTCTCCCGGAGCCTCCGCACGGGCTCTCGCGAGAAACTGCCCGATGTTCCAGACCGGGGAGAAGCGAAGTATCGCGAGATCTCGGTGAGGCACTGACGGCCGTGGCCCAATCTCCTGCAATGATTGCGCCACAGTCGATCCCATCCCCCCCTCCTTCCCCCGGTTCTGAAAGGCTTCTCGGACTCGCCTGCTAGCGACGCATCGAAATCTCGCGAGGCCGCGTGGTCTACAAGGCGACGACAGTTGGTGCACTGGCTGTCAATCTTTAGAAGAATGCCTTGCTGAGTGGGTCTCCACTGTCATCCCGGCCGGTGGCGTCTCCTCGCTGAGCGTGAAGGTTTCCCCTCGCTCACAGCCGACCGCCCACGACACCCGCCCTCCCACCCAGATGGCTGTCAAGGTCGCCATAAGGCAACCTATTATAGTACATATGGCTGTAGGGTAAGACATTCGGCTCCAGATTCACGACGGTGAAGACGCACGCAGACGAGAATGAGCTGTACACAGGGGAATGGGATGGAATAAAAAGTGCCATTTCCTTGTCATTTCGTGTCACCGGTTAGATGCGGCCCGGACGGTGAAGCTTCGAAACCCCCTTGAAAAGTGGAGGACTGAATTTAGTCGGGCCATTTATCGGGGTTGTTATTTTAAAAGTACCCCCGCTTTTTGGCTGTCTACGTGGAAATTTACCGTTTGTTTATTTTTGTTGGTTTTTTTTGTTTGCGTTTTGTGGATGGGGGGGCTGGTTAGTACTGTGGCAGAGAAGCTGAGCTATCGTTGGAAGATCTTTATTCCTTTCATATAAAATGTTTTTGAAATAAAATTAAATATCAAACCAGTCTTGAAACCTATGAGCGGCTCAACGATTGAGGGTATAAAAGATTTGAAATATGACACCTTAGTTGGTTTAAGTGCTCCAACACTGTGTGACCTTGGGCAAGTAAATTAAGCCCTCAGCATATATTCCATTTATTCCTCGTAAGGGGGAAATGGTATAATTAATTGCAAGGATAAGCTTGACACTGACCAAGATGTTCACTGATGTCTGTTCCGGTGAACTTTCCATGAAATGAATGAAGGCTCACTGGGAGTAGGATGAAGATAAGCGATATGGTGATTGAAATGCTGGGAAATATTGCTTGCCTAGCACTCCTGGTAGAGCATGTTTATAATTCCAGCACTCAGAAAACACAGGCAGGGGAATCTCTGTGAGCTTAGTCTGTATGGGGAGTTCCAGGCCAGCCAGAACTACATAGTGAGACCCTACCTCAGAAAATAAATAAATCATAAAAAAATTAAGAGGACATATAACTATTATGAGGATTCTCTCTTGGCTGTGGTAGACTGCCTGAGATCCCTGGTAATTTCTGGCTGAAAGATTACACTTCCCAGCTTCTGTTGTTTCTGCCCCTCTGAGGGGCCACAGCCCATCTTCTGCCTCTATAGGCATTTTGACTGGAGGTTGAGGAGTGACAGATGACCCCTAACCCTGAATAAACATTTGTCTTGACTAACTAAGGTCCAACCAAGCCCATCTCTCTGTCTTCTATCTCTCTACAGCTGCCCTTAAGTAACAATTCTGTCCTTGACTGGCAAGTCAAGGACAACCTGTATCACATAAGGAAAGCCTGTCAAAAAAAGGGGGGTGGGGATCCTCGCAGTGGTGGTACGCCTTTAATACCAGCACTCAGAGAGGCAGAGGCAGGCAGATATCTGTGAGGCCAGCCTGGTCTACAAAGCAAGTCCAGGATAGCCAGAGCTACACAGAGAAACAACAAAAACCAAAATAACAATAATGTTTGTGTTTCTAAAGAGAAAGTAGTTGAGAGCACTGACTGTTCTTGCAAAGGACTAGGATGTGATTCCCAGCACTCAATGGCAGGCAGCACAAACTTCAGTGGAAGACACCCAATTCTGATCTCCACAGGCATCCGACAGGCAGGTGGTGCACAAACTTCGTGCAAGGAAAACACATGGACATTCAAAAATATATAAAAAATAATTTGTTCCCAAAAAAGTTGAGGCTGGGAGGAGGAGAAATGGCTCAGGGTTCAAGACACTGACTGGTCTTCCAAAGGTCCGCGGTCAATTTATAGCACCCACGTGGTGGCTCACAATACTTTGTAACTCCAATTCCAGAGGATCCAGCACCTTCAAGACACAGACATATATGCAAGCAAAACGTCAGTGCATGTGAAATAAAACATTAAAAAAATAACAATAAAGCTGAAAATGAGGCTGGCATGGTGGCACACCCCTTTAATCCAAGCACTCCAGAGACAGAGGCAGAGGCAGGTGGATCTCTATGAGTTCAAGGCCAGTCTGATCTACAGAGGGAGTTCTAGGACAGCTAGGGCTACCCAGAGAAACCCTGTCTAAAGAAAGAGAGAGAGAGAAAAGAAAGAAAAGTTATAAATGGGCCATGGTGGATCTCTGAATTGGAGGCCAGCCTGGTCTATAGAACTTGCACAAGGCTCCAGGTTTAATCCTAGGAACCCAATAAAACGAGGTGCAAGCCTAGATCTCAGCATTCTAGAGATGGAAGCAGGAGAATCTTAAAGGTCATCCTGATTAAGGAAGTTTGATACCAACCTGGGCTACTGAAACAGGTAAGAAGACCCTGTCTCAAAAAAAGATAAAAGTGTGTGTGGAGGGGGATGGAAGGGAATTTAAGGGCCACGTGACAATCTCTTAAGGTCCCTTATATTGTTTTATCAAGTTCAAAATGATGGTGCATGCCTTTACTCCCAGCACTGGGGAGACAGAGGAAGCCTGCATGAATTCCAGGCTAGCCTGATCTAAATTTCAAGTTCCAGTCCAGCCTGAGCTACACAGTAAAATTCTATCTCAAAAAAAAAAAAAAATAGTCATTCACCAATTTACCAGCCATGAACTAGAGGGAATGCTAAGTCTCTGAGCAAACAGCTGTAGAAAATATAAATATCCCATTACTTTGTTTTTATTTTGGTGGTTTATTTTTTTGAATTTTTGTTGTTGTGACTTTGTATTTCTTTGTATTTGTTGATTTCTTGCTGTTTGGTAACAAAGTCTGAGTCTGCCGGCCAGATTTGCCTCAGTACTTGGCATCTTCCTGTCTTAGACCATTTAGTGATGAGAGTATATGCCACCTAGTGTCACCTTCTAAAGTCATTTGCTGCAAATACACACACACACACACACACACACACACACACACATATATATATATTTGGCCACAATATATATATTGGCCACCATAATACACATTCTGAGTGGTAGGTAAGCCTGCTGTCCTAGCATTTGGAAAAGCAATGGTCTCTGTGTGAGCAGGGCCCTGCTACATAGTGAGTTCCAGGCCACCTTGTCCTTGTTGGGGGAATGATAGGGAAGAGAAACACAGGAGGGTATGTAGCAAACCCTCATAACCAGCACTTGGCAGTCATCAGCTGTATGAGAAACTGGAAGCCAGCCTGTACCACCAGTGAGACTTTTCAAAAGATCCAAGAGGCTGGAGATGGCGCAGCAGTTGGGATCATCTTGCTGTTCTTGCAGAGCATACAGATGTTCTCTCCCTGTGGGGGCTCACCACCATGGGTAGACACTCATGTGGTGAACATACATGGAGGAAAAATACTCATCAAAAATTTAAAGGGGGGCCATTGGAAAGGTAGATCTGTAGCAAGGATCATGTGTTGCTCTTCCAGAGAACCCCAGAATCAATTCCCAGCACCCACATGCTGGCTAACAGCCATCATAACTCCAGTTCTCAGGGAGCACAACACTCTTTTCTGGCCACTATGGGCCAGAAGTGTAGTACACAGACTTACAGACAGGAAACATACCTATTCACATTGATCTCTGTGAGTTTGAGGCCAAACTGGTCTACAAAGTGAGTTCAGGACGGCCAAGAGAAACCCTGTCTTTAAAACGAAAACAAAACCAAATCAGATCAAAAGGAATGTAGACACTCTATTGTGTAAAAACTGGCAGTTACTTAGAAACATTTTTCTGCCTGAAAGTTGAGAGTATTCAGAGTGTACTCTAAATTGAGCCACTGAATAGACAGAGCTAGTGTTCTTCAAGACATACATGCAGGCAAAACACCCATAAATAAAATGACAATTAAAAAATAAATTTTCCTGTGATGTTAACTCTCAGTTTTGTGTGTGTTTTATTTAGTTTGGGTGTTATTTTGTTTGTTTTCTGGACAAGATTTCTCCGTGTATATCCAACCAAGGACCATGCATGGATATAACCTACAACCCCTGCTCAGACATAGCCCAGGGTAGCTCACTATCCAAGTGGGTTCCCTAATAAGGGGGACAGGAATTGTTTCTGACATGAACTCATGAGCTTCCCCTCCCCCCTGAGGGAGGAGCAGCCTTGCTAGGCCACAGATAAGGACATTGCAACCATCCTGAAGATACCTGATAAGCTAGGGCCAGACAAAAGGAGAGGAGGACACCCCCTCTCAGTGGACTCAGAAGGGGGCAGGGAGGAGATGAGGGAGGGAGGGGAGGATTGGGAGGGAAAGAGGAAGTGGGCTACAGCTGGATTACAAGTGAATGTATAAAATTACTTAAAAATAAAAAAATATTAATATTAAAAAAAATATTTCTCCATGTAGCCCTTCCTGTATTGGAACTTACTCTGTTGACCATGCTGGCCTCCAACTCACAGGGATGTGCCTGCCTCTACCTCCTGAGTGCTGGGCTTAAGGACTTTCACCCCTGCATTCAGCTTAGTTTTGGTGTTTAATTTCTTTTATGTTTAATGTGTACGGGTGTATTTCCTGCCTGTAAGTCTGTACACTACACTTCTGGCCCATAGTGGCCAGAAAAGAGTGTTGTGCTCCCTGAGAACTGGGGTTACCGATGCTGTTAGCCAGCATGTGGGTGCTGAAAACTGATCCTGGGGTTCTCTGGAAGACATGATCCTTGCTGCTGAACTGCCTCTGTCTCCCTGAGTGCTGAGATTACAGGCAGACACCACTACACCTAGTTCTGATCTGTGTG